AAAGCATTTTAAACCAACGCTGCAAAATATCACAGCGGGTTTAAAATCCAAAGCTGCAGCAACACTTTTTGGAATGCAGCTCCACAAAAAAAGGCAAGCTTGGAAGAAAGACGAAATGAAGTTTGCCATTGAATTGTATTTAAGGTCTCCTGCTGCCTATAGATTCTTGGCAAAAAAAATTACCTTACCAGGAATATCTACGGTTAGAAATTGGTTATCTTCCAAAAAGTTATTCATTCCTGGCTTTAACAGCAAGTTATTTGAAAAAATCAAACATAAAGCTGCAAGCATGAATGACAAAGAAAAGTGTTGTGTATTGCTGGTGGATGAGATGGCTATTAAAAAACAACTGGAATATTCGCCACAGTATGACCTGATTGAAGGGTTTGAGGATTGTGGCTATTTAGGCAGAACGAGGAAATTAGCTTCTGAAGCAACCGTTTTCATGATAAGAGGCTTATACTATCAATGGAAATTACCCATTGGTTATTTTGTATCAAAGGATGGTCTATCAGGCTCAGTACTCTCTACACTGATCAAAGACGCCATAGAGCACCTATCAGAAACAGGATTAATGGTCAAAGCTGTTGTCACAGACCAATGTTCCACGAATACCAATGCCTACAGAAGATTAGGAGCAACAGTTGAGAAGCCATTTTTTAAAACTGGTGATAAGAAGATTTTCACTCTGTACGACCCACCACATCTTCTCAAATCTGTCAGAAATAATCTCCTGACACATGACTTTGCCCTCTTTGACGAAAGGATATCTTTCAAAGACATCAGGCGGTTATTTGAAATCGAATCCAGTAGCAAGACAACAAGAGCTGCACATCAATTGACCCCAGCTCATATATACCCGAACAACTTCCAGAAGATGAAAGTGTCGCTCGCTGCTCAGGTCTTCAGCCACACAACATCAGCCGCTTTGCACACTGCAGTAGCGACAGGGCAGATAAGAAGCCCTACTGCCCAACCAACGGCGAGGTTCCTGGCAACAATTAATTCATTGTTTGATGCTATGAATAGTAGGAGGTTAAGGTCTCGAAATCCTGACAACTGTGCGTTGAGTCAAAGTGACAAACATGTGTTAGACATTTTGAAAAATGCAATCGAAATGTTCACTAACTTGAAAAAAATGAATTGCAAATTTCCTAGGCCACCGTGTTTTGATGGTTTTATTTTTACCATTAATGCCATGCTACAGCTGCTGGAAAGTGAAAAATGCAAGTTTCTACTAACCTCCAGGCTGAACCAAGATCCATTAGAAAACTTGTTTTCTGCGATAAGACAAAGAGGTGGATTCAACAGAAATCCTTCAGTACGAGTATTTAGAGGAACTCTTCGAGTGATGACACTAAAACTCATGATAGAGCCGCCCAAAACAACTTCCTACGACCCAGACGAAGACAAGCTACTGGAAATATCTACTTGTAATCAAAGCGAAGACCTTCAAGGTAAGCAATAAAAATCCTCGTACAACTTTGGTAGAACAATTTCTAGTTTTTTAGGAAACCCCTAGTCAGGAATTGGTGTAGTAAAATATTTCAGAAAACCCCAATAATAAACCCATTAACAATTTTGTTTGAGATAGTTTAAGTAAAAAAGCGATTTTTATATTGCATTATGTTTATAAAGCTGTTGTTTAAAAGATAACCAGGATTACTCATGATATCAATTATATTTTTGTTCTGAAGAATTGCTGTTTGTCATATATTTTTAGTTTGACGTCAAAATTGAATAAAGCTTTGTTATATTGCATGCTGTTAATTATTGAGCTGTTGTTTGAGAGATTACAATGATTTACCAAGATATAAAATTAGTTTTGTTATGTAGGATAAAATTGCTGTTTGTAAAGACCCATTGTTCAAGGACATTCAAGTTGTCTTGCATTCCAAAGTCAAAATAAAAAGTGACAAGGATAACGATTGTGTAAATGTATATACATAACAATAGAAGGATCTGTTGGATGCACATAACAACTTGATCAATGAAATACTGTATATTTAATCTATCCTGGTAAAGTCAATCCGCCTATACGCATGTGTTTTGGTTCTCATTTGTTATTTTATGTTTGAAATACTGTATATTTAATCTATCCTGGTAAAGTCAATGCACCTATACGCATGTGTTTTGGTTCTCATTTGTTATTTTATGTTTGAAATACTGTATATTTAATCTATCCTGGTAAAGTCAATGCACCTATACGCATGTGTTTTGGTTCTCATTTGTTATTTTATGTTTGAAATACTGTATATTTAATCTATCCTGGTAAAGTCAATGCACCTATACGCATGTGTTTTGGTTCTCATTTGTTATTTTATGTTTGAAATACTGTATATTTAATCTATCCTGGTAAAGTCAATGCACCTATACGCATGTGTTTTGGTTCTCATTTGTTATTTTATGTTTGCATAATTATGATCAGTTGGTTTTATAATTATGTATTTATCAGATCCAATGGCCAATACCGAGGACAACATCAGCCAATCTTCCAGCCAATGCTCCACGTCAAGTGAGGGGGCAGCTGAAACCAACAATCAGAGAATAGATATGATGCCAGACAGTGTAGTCATGTTGGAAACGTGCTCCCAAGTGTATTTTGCTGGGTATATTGCCCACAGGTACTACAACAAGTTCAAATGCATACAGTGCTTACGTAAGATGTGTGACTTACGTTCAAAGCTTTCAAGTCGAAAGGAACTGCTACTCCTTAACAGATCGTTTACAACTTTTAAAGTGGATGAAACAAGTGGACTTTTGGCCCCTTCGGAGAGCCTCCTGTACGTTGTCGATGCAGCGTTAAAAATTTTCAAAATAAGGTACAAATCAATTGCCCACAAACGCCATCTTGTACGTAGGTTGCTAAACAGTACCAGTAAGATAGTTTCATTCGGGTCACTGACTTGTGCCAATGCCAATTGTTTTAGGAATGAAGATTTCGTTGTAAGAACTTTATTCCGTATTTTGATACAGAAACAATGCAAATGGATAAGTACCAGCATGAAAACCAGTGCCTTAGACAAGTTAAAAGTGTTAAAGCATGTCTAAGGTTTGATACAAGACAAACCAGTCCATTATTGAGTCCACAGTTATTGAGTTTTTAACCCTCTTTTTTGCTCCTTTGTGTTCAATTTAACTGTAACATTGTTGCTCTTATATGTCGCAATTGCATCGTGTATTTTGTTTGTATTAGCTATTTGGCTTTTGTACATTACTACGTGTATATATTTATTTGTTTTGCAATAGCCTAATATGGTATTTGTAATTTTATACCTGTCATATACTATTGTTTCATTATCGATACTGGGAACTTGTTTTTTTCGGGTATATTTAACCTTATTTGCTATTACATATATGTCGCAATTGCATCTGTATTTCATTTGTATTAGTTATTTGGCTTTTGTAGGCTACCTTTCTACGTGTACATAATTCTGTTTATCAATATCTTTATTTGTCATATGTAATTTTTTACCTGTAATAAACTATTGTTTCATTGTCGATACTGGGCACTTGTTTTTTCCGCGTGTATTTAACGTTATTTGCTATTATATGTCGTAATTGCATCGTGTATTTTGTTTGTATTAGCTATTCAGCTTTTGTACCTAAGTATATATATAATTATTTGTTTTGCAATAGCCTAATATGGTATTTGTAATTTTTTTCCTGTCATATACTATTGTTTCATTATCGATACTGGGCACTTGTTTTTTTCGGGTATATTTAACCTTATTTGCTATTACATATATGTCGCAATTGCATCTGTATTTCTTTTCTATTAGCTATTTGGCTTTTGTATGCTACCTTTCTACGTGTACATAATTCAGTTTATCAATATCTTTATTTGTCATTTGTAATTTTTTACCTGTAATATACTATTGTTTAATTGTCGATACTGGGCACTTGTTTTTCCGAGCGCATTTAACGCTATTTGCTCTTATATATTGCAATTGCATCGTGTTCTTTGTTTGTAATAGCTATTTGGTTATTGTACTTTACTATTTTATTGTTGGTATTTAGCCTAGCCTACATGTTTTTTTGTACTGTTTTGTGATATAAATGTAAGTGTTCTCATTCGAATAAATTATTTTTATTTGGCAAATTTCGTTTACATTATTTTTGTTTATTAATCTAAATCGTTAGTTGTGTTGGATAACAAGGTAGAAGGTGGAAGATTATTAAAAATTTTGTTTACCTTTGGTAACCTAATAAATAAGTTTTACGCATATTTTGTCAATGGCACTATAAATATTTATACAAACCATCAAAGACCTAAATGTTTGCTACAAAACTTAAATAAATTACTGAAATATATTTTATATTGCGTTGTCATCCAGTTATTTTTTATGTTTAAAATTTCTAATCTTGCTCATCTGGGAGTTAATTGTAAATTACTGTAGTTGCAAAAGTTTTACAGAACATAATGAAGAGAAGTGAGTTAATTCAATCGTTTTATTAGAATAATCCTTAGAACCATCACGATAGTGCAATTAAATAAAGGCTATTTATATATAATAATTTATTGCAAAACAGCAAACTATGAATTATCGCGACTGAGGATGTTAAAGATTATAAAAACAAATACGTCATATGTTAACTTAAAAACACTACTGGAATAACATTTTATCTGGAAGTGGAATAAAGACAACAGATAACGAGGTAACGCAAAACGTTGAATTAATATAGTAGTACTATAATAGTGGGCATTCATTGAAACGCCAGTGAGTGACAGCGGCTGCGGCAGCCTCGTTCAAGGTCACATATGCCGCGACTGTGGAATGGCGGGACGGGGAGAGAGCGGGAAATATGATGCGCCCGTCTAGTTACAGTTGACTCAAACTGGATAAACTTCTCCCGTGCGCGCTGAGTTGAAGACACTAGCGCTACCAACAGGCAGCGCTCCAAATTAAATTTCACTTAATGCTACCTCCGTAAGCGTCAGCATTCTGGGTAATAGAAGTATATTTTCTGTGGTATAATACACAATACAATAAATCACTTTATGTACATCACTATTTTTATATCAAGCTAGGAATCTTTTGGTTTATCACAGACAAAGGCCACTTAAAGAGCCACACATCATGTACTTGGTTCTTCTTTCTTCAACAGTTGATCGATCTGTAAACATGGAATTCAAAGTTACACACAGTAGTCCATTTTGTAAAGATTACCAATTAAGATGCTAACTAGGTTTCTGTTACGGACATCATTATTTGATCGCATTTTGAATCCATTTTTTTAAATTATGATTAAAAAGATGGTGTATTTCATACAAATCTGTTATTCACACTCTGTTGGCAGTTCAATTCAACTTCTGTAACTAACAACCTGACTAGAACCTAAATATAGGAATGGGAAAAATCAAAGATTAAAACGAAGCATTGCATTAAAAAAAATTAAAGATTGATTTGACCAGTGCTTGATTTGTTTGGGGAACGCGGCGGAACAGAGTTCCGGTACCTCCCTTTAAGAAAGATAAAAATATTGGCATAAACTGTCGGTACAAATTACCTTAAATAGGTTACAGTTTCGTTAATTTTTTTTACAAATCCAATACTGGTATTACTGGTTTAGTAAAAACATGTCTTTCAAAAATAGAAATACTGGATTTGACAATAGTTATGCAATTGACATTGACCTGAGTCTTGTACATATCCTTGACGTCCTGCAGGTCCATTCTCAGCTCCTGACTCTCCTCTAGTTTCTCCCCATACAATAGCAGCAATGCATCATACTCTGTCTGTAGTGTGGATAGTGCTGCCAACTGCTTGTCCTGCACCTCCACACGGCCAGTCAGGGCTGCCAACTCATTGCTGAGTGCTGCCCTCTCTACCTCTCTCCTGGACAACTCCCATTGTAGTTGGTGTACTTCACCTGTACAATCAAGAGCAGTGAAGTAAAGACAGTGCTGCCAACTAATCACCCTACGAGCAGGTACATCTCATCTATGACTATACTAGGAACATTAATCTTGGTTCTGAGGCAGCTGGTGGATCACATGGTAAGTTTGTTTACCTTCTCTTTGCTTCAGTTGAGCCTGGAGTCCCTCGAGCAGAGAGGTGGTGTTCCCAGGCCGCAGACTGTCGTACACACTCATCCTTCCACTCATGGAGGCCGTCTCAAACACATCGTCTCCAAACTGCAACATTGTATCACGCTACATGTGTAACAAGCGAGTTAGATTTGTAGAAAAAATATTCTTGTAATTACTGTAATATGCTTTAGAACTAGAACTTAACGTCACTTAATGTACTACTAAGTACTAATTATATAGCTCAGCGGTGGACATGGTGACTTGGGCAGAGATGCCAGACATTTCTCAATTTCTGATTAAGAACTGACCACAGACACTACTTTATCATTACAGTTGTTATTGCTATGGTTCAACATTTAAAAATGTTAAGCTTTTTGGTGGTTTTATACTGGATAAAGCTTACCTCGATGAAAGGGATTATATTAAAGGGGTTAGCTAAAGCTGAAAAATCCACACAGATCTACCCACTCCATTCAACGCTCATTCTTTATCATACTCACTCAGCCTAAAATACAAAGCAAAGCCGTTTGTGACGTGAGTGTCGTTGTCTTTACGAATTTAATTTAAATGAATTCAAGCAAAATGGTTTTAGTTACCTTGCTTTGTCGAGTGATCCTTTGTGGTAGTACACTACTGTTAACATATTTTTTGTTATCCCAGTTTCAAGAATTTGAATCGTATTGATATTATTATTAGATTTACCTGAGTTCTTGTAGGTAAAAGTGTTTATGTCACCCTATGCATTTCTCCACCTTGTGTGGCATCTTCAGGGGTCTTCTTAATCCACTTATCACTTTCAATATGAATATAGTCTATATTGTATTATTAACAGAAATATTTACACACAGGCGGTCACTAGTATTGCGGTCGTGTCGATCGGACAATGTGTCAACGGACACGCTGCGGAGTCACGGCAGGTCTTTCTTCCTCCATTTCATTTCTTGGACTGCGGCTTTTGGAATTTGAATTTGGACCGTTCGAAGGGTTTTTGAACTTTTCTGGTTTATGATCGGCCGGGTGCTTTGATCAATGCAGTGTTGCCTGTTTGTCCCTGTGTTTCCAGGATTGTTAGTCTCAATATCATTATCGTAAATTCATTTAATAATTGTAGAGCTGGTGTAGTCTCATTTTCTGTTTACGAGGGTGTTTCAATACATTTATATATATTTGTACATTTGTTTTGTATATGTTTGTATATTTGGTAGCTTTCTTGTATTTTTGGTAATGGTTATGTTTTAAGTTTTGAGTGGGTTTTGTTCAGAATCATGAGGGAATCAGAACAAGTAGCATAAGACGACATAATAAAAACAAGAATAATATATTAGCATAACATAACATCTTACCTACAAGAACTCAGGAAACAACAAAGGTAAATCTAATACAATTCTATTTTCTATGGTTTCAGACTTCTGGAGTCTATCGCCACATGTGACAAATACATCAGGCCATCTACCCAATTTGGTTAATTCCATTGTTACCATTGTAAAACACACATAACACAAACACCTTGCCATAACACCGGTTATAACTTCTCATAGTAGAAAGCTGTTATAGGAGAAACTATTATACTGAATACAAAATACACAATACTCACTCCTGGCCACATGTTACTGGCTGTTGAGTCACAGACAGACAACCTTCCCAGACTGAGGGTGGGGGAAGAGCGGGGAGTGGTGGGGGGAGACTGACCTCGCATCTTTGTCTGCTCCTGCAACACAAACATGCAAAACAGTGAATATTGCAGCCAAGAATACCACTGAAAACCACACTCTAACTAAATACTTCCTAGCTGTCACCTGGCTGGGGAAATTATATAAGCTTTACAATGATGTTCACCAAATAATGCCCAGTTTTTCAAAGCATATTTATTATTTTTATTTTGCTGATTTTTACTAAAGTGAATTGCTTCCTAAAATAGCAATTTGAATCGTTCTAATCTGACAAGTTTTCATTTTCATTGATTCACAAAAGATATTATTATAATGTATGTAATGGGAAATAATTATAAGAGTCTATAAGAGGATTTTGACTAATTGCAATTTTATCACTAACTGAACGATTGCTGATCAAATCTTAACCTATAAATCCTGAAAAGTGAAAACCTAGTCAAAAGCCATCTTAACCAAACAGTATCTATAAAATTAATACGCTACATGAAACTTTGTCGGTTGAACTCCTCCACCATTTCTTAACCGATTTTTTCCATTGACGTCTCATTGCAAAGAGCGTGTCGCGTAGATTTGCAAACTGGCCTTACATTTTTGAAAAAGTCCCTTGGGCTCTGCCGCAGTGGCTTTGAAAGTTCCCATGTTATCCTTATGAAGAACATAATTGTTTACATTTTGATCAGCTGCATAAGTTAATTGCTGTTATTTATTTTTCAATTCAACGAAACGCATTGGGTACATTATTTACTGATTTTGTTGAAATTAAATATTTACTACTTTAATTTACAATGTAAAAAATTGAGAAAGCCTAGGCAATTTGATATATTTTACATCCTACATAATGAAGAACACCTAAAATGTGAAGATTCCCACAAACAATGAACAAGGATGTTAGCCGAAGTGTTACTATTTTGTAGGAAACACGGACTTAACTTTATGATGATTGGCAAAGGAAAACACTCTAAGGCTGAATTAAACTGGTACGACAAGGACATTAAATATATGTATTCATAAAAGTCAAGTGATTTTAGAATAATATGACTACATCCAAGAAACCTTAGTAAAACTTTCATTGAAGAATTTGCATTTTTCACATTTAAGGGAAACAAAAAACCATCTGAACAACATTAGGCCTTTCAATTCTGCATTTTTTCAGGTATGTATAACCATTGGGTATACACGTAACGTATATAATTGAGTGTGAGTGTACGTTGATAATTGTATGTGTGTAGTTACGCTATAACAGTAACTAGCCAAATTATTGCCAATTGAAGCAAATACAATTGTGATAGAGGTTATGCAGGAAATCAGGCAGTTCTTAAGAAATATAAACAAAATTTTATCGCTATACAAAAATGACTGAAATTATTTAACGTTTGACGACAATGGGTATAGTATCATGCAGACTACATTATCATTGACGAAGATCAACATTGACAACCTAATGCAGCTATAAGTGGGAAATATTTGTAGAATATACTAAAAAAGCAGACCAGCTTTTGAAAAATGATAAAATATTTACAAGAAATGTTGAATATATGGAACTGTTAGGTACATAATCTATGAGTTGAGTGTTTTAAACTCATCGGAAATTATGACTTTTATTAGTTTTTAAATAAGTTATTTGTTTTTAAATAACTACTTTACTTCTTTGCAACTGCTCGATTTCGAGCAACATGTACACTAGTCTTATTTTAAAATGTAATTGAGATTACTTTGAATAAATTTAGTAGGCCTACCAGTAAATTTGTTCTGACTCGCCAAGCTGAATCGTTCATTGAACAGTTCCTACCTGCAATGCCGCAGTCTTTCTCCTCTCAGCCTCCAGAGCAGCTCTCTCCACGGACAGTTGCTGCTCCAAACTCCTTCTGTCTCTCTCACTCTCACACAGTTCACTACGCAGCTGCTTCAGACTCTCCTCATGTTCCTTGACCAGTCTGAAGTCAACAATCCAGGGTTAGTCACATAGAAGCAAAGACTAAAGCAAATCAAAAATATGTTGATAGGCAATAACAGACAAAGTAAATATGAAAAGTGAGCTACCTGTCCTTTTCTCTCTCTGCTAGTTGCAGTTTGTCCTTGGCCTCTGTCAACAGTTCCTGAGTAGCCTCCAGTTCTCTCTGACCCGCAGACAGTTTGGCCTCCAGTCCAGCCCCTCTGTTGGTGGCCGTCATCAGCTGTTCTCTCAGCCCCCTCTCTGCTTCCACCAAGCCTGTCACTCGCGACTGAAGCTCATCTGACAAAAGTTGTATTGTGTGTTTAGATTGAAATTCTATCAAATTTTAAGGTTTGATAGTAATGGTAAATACCCCCCTTGCAAAAAACCTGCAGATTAAGCTAAGCAAATTTCCAATTTCCTGATTGGATTTTAACTAAAATATCTACTTTAAATGTCATATATATTATTAGCTTAACGAGTACTTAAGTTTGCTGCTACAGGGAAGGTAGTAAAGTGTTTTTTTTAGTGTAATTGTTTAGCATGAAATAAAAAAATAATTCCAAATTTGATCAAAATATGTTCATAAACAAGCAAACTCCAACAATATTTTGCTACAGTCACCTGACAAAGTGGCCTTTCTTGCATTGATTATAGCACAGAAAGTTGCTAATTGCTGCATCTACTTATTTTTGCCGCATAGTTTTTTCTTTTTTTTTTTTTACTTACACCAGTATTCCTACGAAACAGCATGCTTTTATTAGGCACGTAGTACTGTAAGCTTGAAAATAAGTTGGCAAGACTTAAAGATATACGCAGGTGCAGTTACAACACTCCAACTCAAAATTTAGTTATTTTTGTTACCCTAGCTATTTTTTGTAGAGCAATGAGCTATCTTCAGGGAGAGGTTCTTTGCCAGCCGATTTAATGAGTGGGGTTGTTTCTTATCTGAGCTTATTATGATTTTGTATTTTCTTTATTTATGTCTAGAGAGATGAGAGCGTGTCCCTACAATAATAAGTCAAGAGTTTATGCTGTAACAATTAAATATTTATTCAACAAATTTATTAAATCTAACATTCAGTCTTATTCAGTAATTATCACAGTGATCCTTCTCACTAACAATTCACAAACATTAACAATTCATAAATATTTAACTTGAAATTGAAAAAATCTACTTTAAATTATATCACAAAATATTAATGACTCAACAATTCCCTAACTCGCAATAATGTAACCCCTGAGAAAGAAATTTAATTTTGTTAATAAAGAAAACCTAATCTGTAGTTTAAGTTGCCAACTTTCAGCTCTTACCAACTCCAGCACAAAGCCGAGTGTAGTGTTTGCCGAATGTAGCTTTGAGGACTCTAATCTTCCAGCTAAAAAGCCGAGTTAACAAGAGAGAAGTCTTCTCTCTTTCAAAAATACCGCCCTGCCATGATACCGGAGTACGTACCGCGCAGAAAAAACTATATGACGTAATGTGATTGTTTTACTTCCTCTCACTCAATTCTCAAACCGGGCCGGGTACCGATGTCTGTCAAATGTCATGTCCTGGAGGTTATGTTAGTGATGATTGTAAATAGGCATCCGTATAAAGTTATTCTTAATATGAATTTAAACAATCTTACAGTAATTAAAAACAAATCACAGTTATAGGATAATTTAAATAAAAGAATGATTAGTCGGAGTCTAATTTAATTATGGCCTTTGATGAAAGTAAAAGTTGTATCGGCAGACGTTATAATATCGAAACGGTAAGTGTACGTATTGTAGGTTATCTCAACTTAGTCAATAATGAAATTTGACTTAAATCTGCTATTAATTAGAGAGGTATTTATTAGAATTTTATTTATTATTACCTTGAAATTACAAAGCATCAAGAGGATCGGTGTTTATTGCAACTGTGCAACAACCTAGGCTATTTGGAATAACGTCTTTCATTGGTTATTGTTTGAGCCTATTAGAAAGCTTGATAGTAGGGATGGACGGGTCCCGAAATTTCGGGAATTTTTCGGGAAAAAAATATTCCCGATTATCGGGACGGGATTACATTTGACTCGGGAATTTTTCGGGACGGGATTTAGTCCGATCGTCGGCGATTTTTCCGCTTCGCGAGTGCCGATAACGCCGTTATTGCGAGCGATAGGTCCGCGAACGCAGGAGACGAAGTCATACCGACAATCGCGCCGTGACCGCGGAGCCCTACCGACGATCGCGCCGTGACCGCGAGTCATACCGACGATCGCGCCGTGACCGCGAGTCATGACGACGATCGCGCCGTGACCGCGGAGTCATGCTGACGATCGAGCCGTGATCGCGAGTCATACCGACGATCGCGCCGTGACCGCAAGTCATACCGACGATCATGCCGTGACCGCGAGTCATGACGACGATCGCGCCGTGACCGCGGAGTCATGCTGACGATCGAGCCGTGATCGCGAGTCATACCGACGATCGCGCCGTGACCGCGAGTCATACCGACGATCGCGCCGTGACCGCGGAGTCATGCTGACGATCGAGCCGTGATCGCGAGTCATACCGACGATCGCGCAGTGACCGCAAGTCATACCGACGATCATGCCGTGACCGCGAGTCATGACGACGATCGCGCCGTGACCGCGGAGTCATGCTGACGATCGAGCCGTGATCGCGAATCATACCGACGATCGCGCCGTGACCGCGAGTCATACCGACGATAACCCCGTGACCGCGGAGTCATACCGACGATCGCGCCGTGACCGCGAATCATACCGACGATCGCGCTGTGACCGCGAGTCATACCGACGATCGCGCCGTGACCACGAGTCATGACGACGATCGCGCCGTGATCGCGGAGTCATGCTGACGATCGAGCCGTGTTCGCGAGTCATGCTGACGATCGAGCCGTGATCGCGAGTCATACCGACGATCGCGCCGTGACCGCGAGTCATACCGACGATAACCCCGTGACCGCGGAGTCATACCGACGATCGCGCCGTGACCGCGAATCATACCGACGATCGCGCTGTGACCGCGAGTCATACCGACGATCGCGCCGTGATCGCGGAGTCATGCTGACGATCGAGCCGTGTTCGCGAGTCATACCGACGATCATGCCGTGACCGCGAGTCACCGCGAGTCATGACGACGATCGCGCCGTGACCGCGGAGTCATGCTGACGATCGAGCCGTGTTCGCGAGTCATACCGACGATAATGCCGTGACCGCGAGTCATACCGACGATAACCCCGTGACCGCGGAGTCATACCGACGATCGCGCCGTGACCGCGGAGACCTACCGACGATCGCGCCGTGACCGCGAGTCATGACGACGATCGCGTCGTGACCGCGAGTCATACCGACGATCGCGCCGTGATCGCGAGTCATGACGACGATCTCGCCGTGACCGTGAGTCATACAGACGATCACCCCGTGACCCGCGAGTCACAAGTTACTATAGGTACCTGTAAATTGTTACCCATTTTTTGGTTTTTATAGATCAGTGCCACAAATGGTAAAAATTGATTTTGTATGCCTTTTTTTGGTAACTGCAATACAGTACTTTCTTTTTATGCACAGAAAAAAATCCCGTCCCGTCCCGTCCCGAAAATCGGGAAGGAAATAAAAATCCCGTCCCGTCCCGTCCCGAACTAAAAATTCAATCCCGTCCATCCCTACTTGATAGTAATCTAAATTTGGTTAATTGAGTAGGCCTATTATATTATTATTACGGCGGTAAACTTTGGTAACGTCGTACAGTTCAATGTTTGGATTTAACCTAACCGAAAAACGTAAAAAAAAAAAAATAGTTTAGGAAGCGCTTATAAGGAGGAAATTAAAAAAAAACTGTAAATTTAAAACTCCCATGTTATTCTCATGGAGAATAAATTGTGTAACTAGTGTGTGAAGTGGCACTTTGCTGCACACGAGATAAATGTTTACGCACAAGCCGTAGGCGAGTTTGGAAAGTTTCTCGAGTGCAGCAAAGGTAGTTTGCACTCGTGTTACACATTATATTTTTCCTACAGTTACTATAAAGCACATAAATCATTTAATAATTAGTCTATCAAACACTGTAAAAAAAACTGTTTACATAACTGACTGTTTGTATCAAATTTTTTCTGAGTATTTTGCTAAAATCATGTGTTACTTTACTGAACATCCTTCATATTTATTGGGAACATCAAAATGTTTTAGAGAGTTTCTAAGGTTGAATAACTTTGCTTCACTAAAAAACCCATGGTAATATGGTATGTATTTTAAGTTTGCCAGTTTGCAAATGTTTTTATTAGATTACTCGTTGACCAGAGATTAAAACCGCTAAGTTTAACAATAATTATTATTATAAAACAGCTTTGTAAAATTTGGGTTTTTCAAGAGCAGAAAAGTGGATTATAGTACGGTACAAGTTTGTTTGGTAGTTTGCATTTTGCACAAGTTCAATAGACACAGTTTCTATAAATGAATGGAATCTATTTCAAATCAAATATTAAACTAATTTATATATATCTAACATTCAACTGAATAACCAAGCAGACTTACTGATCTGCTGCAACAAGCTGCGTTCCTGTCTTTCCCATGCTGCCTGGTTCTGAGAGTTCTGTGCAGTGAGTGTGTGTATCTGCCGCACCAGTGGCTGCGTGGCTGCACTCACACTCTGCGCGACCTCCTCAGCCGCAGCCCCTGCAGTCTCCAGCCTGCGTAGCAACTCTGTGTGTTGTGTGCGCAACTCACGCACCTCTCTACCCAACAATTACACGTGTTAGTTATTAATATAGGATTCTACAATTAATAGACAAGTAATTTAATTAAGACATATATTTGAGACTTCAAAAATATGGATATACAGCAGGTAACAACTAGATACTGGTTTTGTGTGCAGACCATACTGAGTTTGTCTTTTAAATATAAACCAAAACTTAAAGTTGGTTGAAAAAAACGTTTAAAAAATATTACATCATTTGATTAAGTAAACTATTTATTACAGAAAGCAAGACCAGTCAGTTAACTCTATTTGAGTTCTTTGAATGGGAAGCATATATTTCACAACTGTGAGGTTACAAGAAACAATGAATAACTCCAATAAGGAATTAACAAACTGTGAGTGTTGTTAGCTTTATGGCAAGCATCTTGCAGTTTAAGTGCAATCCCAGGCATGTCCACAACTAGAGGACTGATTTTCCTTCTTTTACATCAGTTTAGATTGGCATAAACACTAACAACAAAACAAAACAAATAATTGCAACTCACCAAGATTCATTAAGCTAAACCATCCTCGGAATTTAAACTGTAATGTATAAAATATTTGTTTGTGTTTAAAAAAAAAACCTCCTGGTTTATTTAGTTTTATGTGCCTTTTTACAGTGTTATGTATGAACTATCTAGTGAATCCAACGCTTCTGCCCAATAACTTTCTCAGGTGATTTATCGCTCAACTCCACCCCTTGAGAAATATTTGTATTTCATTCAAGCTTTGGAGAGTTCGGTATTGTGAGAGCCAAACTCACTTGTCATGCAGCTCCAGTTGCTGGTCCAGTCTGTCTCTCAGTGATGTCACCTCAGCCTCCAAGCTGTCTCTCTGCTCAGCCACCTCCCCCCACTCCCCCTCTAGCCTCCTTCTCACCTCCGCCTCTGCCTCTGACTTGGCCTCCTTCAAGGACAACTGCAGCTGTGTCACTCTGTCCTTGCTGTCTGTCAACTCCCTGCAAACACACGGTATACTGTAACTTGGAGTGGCCAAGGAGATAAGGTAGGTATACAGCATTGTAAAAGAAACAGGCTTACCTGTATGGTCTGGATGGAAAATAGTCTGCTCTGGCACAAGAAACTTAAAAATTGTCTTCAGCTGTTCTATAAGGATAAGAAATCTACTAAGGGAGTATGTTTTATCTATGGTTTCGACAAATCATGCATTGTAAGAAGCCAACATGATCACCATTAACTCTTTGGATCAGCATGTTAACATAAAGAATCCTATATATTAAATAGGCAAGCATGTTTTCTTAAAACCTTTTTTTCTCAGCTCATGTGCATCACAGGGAAAATGTACGCACACTGTTAGAAAGATATTTGCCTGTAGATGTGTAGAATCCCTTTATAAATTAAAATAGGTTCAATAATAAGCAGAATAAACTAATTAAAAATTTAAAATAAATTAACATGGGCCTTATGGGTTGCTATGCTGGTGACAAAATAACAATGAAATATAAACAGAAAACCAAAACAAATGGAATAAATTCCAATCACATATTTTATTTACAGCATGGGGTGAAAATCGAGAAGTTTCCACAATACATATTTTTGGTTGAGTTTTCGACCACGGAGCAACCTCTAGTTTGTTGTATTCCGTTTCATTAATTAAGTTTGGGCTATCATAGCTCTTCAATCCCTCTCCCACATTACATCACAAATTGAGAACCTAAAATAAAATGTAACGGATTCCATTCCATAGCTTACATAATCCTTAGCTATCAAAACAAATAAACTAACCGGTCATTATAACCAATTAAATGGGTTTTTACAAACTTTTTTCTTACAAAACAGGCAAAAACCCTTCCAGAGTAAAATAAATGTAAAAAACTTGTCTACATACTTTTGCAGAGACACGATGGTTGAAGTAAGATTTTCTACTTGGGACTGTAGCTGAGTCAGCTGATTCTCTAATTGATTGTTGGTCCTCGTCAGCTGATGCACAGCTTCTATCTGTGACCGCTCTACATCCTGCTTGGCTGACAACGCCTTCTTTGTTCTGTCCACTTCTTGTGTACATTCTTCTAATTGTTCCCTGTAAAAGCCTGACTGTTAGAATGTTAAGAGTTGTTCTGGCTGTTGGGTACTGAAGTAGACTGCATTGTGGGAACCAAGCACGAGGAGGGTAGAAGTTTCTATTCAGTTGATAACATGTGATAATTTGCTTGCAATAAGTTGTCTTTTCAGTTTGGGTTGGTGAAAAAGTTGGTAGATTGGACACAAACAACTAATTATTGACCTCAGCACGCTCTCCCTTTGCTTCAATTTAACTATGATTTTATTTTAAAACTAGCAAGTTGTCACAGTTTTAACATGGTGAATGGGATGTCTAATTTTATCATGGTCAAAGGTTTTAGTCTTTAAATGTTTATTCTTGTCATGATGGGATTTACTACCAAAACTGAAGTTTCCTATGATCTGGGACCACATTTAAATATAAATCCTTATTTATCTTATCTTATCTTACTTCTTACTAATATTATAAATGTGAAAGTTTGTGTGTTTGTTTGTTTGTGTGTTTGAAGTTCAATCACGCATAAACCACTGGACGGATTGGGCTGAAATTTGGTATGATGATAGCTTACATTCCCGATTAACATATAGGCAAATTCTTATCTCAAAAATCCTTTTGGGCTCCGCCCCAGTGGCTCTGTAATTCCCCATGTTAACCTTATGAGTACACAGCTGACAAAATTCTTTAATTACCTTTAAATATGATTAAAGGTAGTTAAAGGTAATTAAAGAATTTAGTCAGCTGTTTCAACTAAAAAAGTTGGTTATATGATATGGAAAAGCATTAAAAAGTTATAAGATTTACCAACAGGGTGCAGCACTATATTTTTTTGCATTTATGAAAACAGCTAATTTGAACTAAGCACCAACAAAAAACTGTGATTCGCAATGAAAACTGTCAAAGTAGGATTGTTTACAGTTATGTTTATGTTTTTCATTTCATGAATAATTTGTGATATTTTGCGAATTGTTGATAATAGATTTTTCTCAATTGTTTAGGTGAAGTGGTAGAACATTATGGCTATGGTAGATGTGTACTAGATGGGGTAGATGTGTATAGAATACTGTAAATTTAAAAAAGCAAATTTTATCAAACTGTGTCCTCCCTTATTGCAAACGCAAAGCTTGAGTATAACTGCAATAAGCATTTTATACTTATATTCCAACCCCGTACGAAGGACGGGTACTCTGCTAGTAAGTTCATATATAGTTAGTATAACTGTTTATTTGAGACCATTTAAATATAAATCCTTATTTATAAGTTCATATATGGTTTTATTACTGTATTTGCAAAACAACAATTACCGATTACAATTTTAGATTGCAACAAGGAATAATTTTAATTTTAAGTTTTTGCTTCGGTTCCAGACACTTCCAGACACTCCAGACACTTCTTGTTGTTTTCTGTTTGTTTTTGGGCATCACTAAAAGCAGCTGAAAGAGCTTAAAATAATGTAAAATTAACCTAGATTTAACCATTTAAAAGCACTCAGTCTCTTACTTCAAGGAGCTGATAGTCTTCTGATTGTCCCGCTCAGTGGCTCGTAGTTTCTTGATGATGTTGTTGAGTGCCAGCTGTTGTTTGCTGAGTTTCTCTCCCTCGGCACGTAAGTCTGAGATCACCTGGTCCTTCTCTGCTTCTTCCTCAGCAACTGCGGCTGCCGCACGGGCTTGCTGTGGGATATAAGGAGAAGTTAATTTAAAATGCAAACAAAACCAACAAAAAATGGAAAGCCAACAAAACCATTCTCATAACACGAGATTTAAAAATTTAATCAAACCGGTTCAACATAGGCTTCAATTGTTCCACCTCTCCCCTCAATATATGGGACCACAAATTTACAACAAATTACCCACATTCATTAAAAACACAGAGTCTGTAGCTAGCTTTAAAAAAACTTTGAAAAAATGGTTATTGGAGAAGGCTTTTTACAGTGTTGAGGAATTCTTATCAGAGCAAAAATAGATTTAAATTTTCTTATTTTTAATTTTAGTCTACTTTTAGTAATAATTAAGACTTAAGGACAAATCACCTGTCAATTAACTTGATGTAATGTGATGATTGATAATAAATAAAATAAATAAATAAATGTTTAACAGGTTTTAAGAGCATCGAGGGGGCCCGTGCACAGATTGCATATTTTAATTAACCTAATGAAAATCCCAATCCTACTCTCACATCTAATCCCATGCACTTTATGTTACTTACAAACAATACATCTCCCTACTACTGATGAAAAAACTCAATTCTATGATCATACCTCAAGCTGTTTCCGTAGAAGTTCCTTGTCACGTATCGCTTGCTGGAACTTCCGCTCCAAGGCTGCCAACCTTTGAGTAAACTCTTCACTCAACTCGCTTACATCTTGTTTCTGTAGACCGCTTTCAAGCTGACTGTAAAAATTGTTACTAATATGTTGTCACGTCAAGTATAGCAATAGCAATAATTTGCCGATTTAAGAAATTATGGTCTTATGGTTTTCATTGAATTTTATAGCACTTTTAAAATGACTAGGGAAGCCTGTGGTTAATTTGGAATGTGATTAGGGTTGATAGTAAATACTAGCTAGTAAATACTAGGAGTTGAGTAGATAAATATTTTTAATAAAGCTGTGTTTTTCAATCATCCATTTCAATGATTTGTTTTCAATAATTTCAGTAAAACTCTTCAACAAAAACTACAGTTTTAAACAAGTTTTTACTTAGTTTTTTTAAGTTCAGCCGAAGTAACGAGACAGCTAATTCAATAAATTTACACAAAATACAGTAGAGTCTCAATTATCCAATCTAAATCGGACGTGACTAGGTCAAATAACAAAAAAATTGAATAAAATGGAAAAAAAACTATATTCGAGCTGGCGCTGTAACCGCGGGACGAGTTGAGGATCGTGCTGCGAGCGTTGGACATGTTGACAATTGTGTCGTAATAGCGGAAGATGGCGCCGTGACCACAAGCCATGTTGAAGATAGCGCCGTGACTGTAGAATATGTTGATGATTGTGCCACAAGCGTGGAACATATTGACAAGTGTGCCCTGATCGCGGATAATGTTAAATATGGTGCCCATGACTGTGAGACGTGTTGACAATGGCACCGTTATCACAGGATGTGTTGACCATCGCGCCACAAGCGTGGGGCATGTTGAGGGTGGTACCGTGATCGCAGAATATGTTCAAGATGAGGACGTGACTGATGATTGTCCAGGAAGGTTGGATAATCGAGACTACTGTAACATGAATATAAAATAAAGAAATTGCTTTAAAATCTTATACTCAGATTGCAGTGAATCAAGTTTCGATAATGGTGAATACAAATTATGAACGTAAGGTGTAATTATTGTTAAAAATACAAATGACTCATACATTTTAAATTACATATTTCATTTCAATAAAATATTTTTTATTTCTATTTTCTAGTAACTTGGCCAAATAACCAAATAAGTAGTTATGTACCTACATAAATGAATTACCCCAGCATTTACAAGTGATATTTGCTTCTAACCATAAAAGATGAAACATTATTAACTTAAACCATGCAACTTACCGCCTGAGGTCACCGTTTGTTTCTTGAAGGTCTGAGTTTAATCTGCTGAGATCTATCAACTTGGCCTCCCTCACTTCCAAGATTTCCGTCATTTCTGAAATACGCTGAAAGGAAAAATAAATAAATGAGTTAAGAACGTCAAACTGTATGTATTTTGAGAGACAATAATTTGTAAATATCTAAGTTATAAACTATAATCTTAATATTTTAAAACTCTCACAAAAAATTCTTGAAAACTCTGATGTTTTTTAACACATTCACTACCGGGTGTCTGGAGACCTTACGTACAGTGGAGAGCGACAGCTGGTAGTGAATCTGTTAAGCAAATACAAGATTTTTAATGACCAAAGCAAAACTGTAAACAACTTTTGGAAAAGAGTACGTACTAAACTAAACACTACATTTTATAGTATCAGTTCTTGGAATATCACCTTGTGTAGTTTATCAACTTCTGAACCATCATCAGAACCTCCACTAGAGGCCTCGGATAATTCTCTTTGATGTCCTAAAACACAAATGAATTTGTATATAAATCATCACTCTCAATAAGCAAGATAGTATTGCAAGTAATTAATCAAATAAAAATATAACACTCAAAACAGGCACAATATAAATGTCGATGGCACAGTTATAATTATTAATATAATTAGTAGTGGTCCTCCGCCTACTTTTTGTTTCAAACTCTTTTTATTCCAACATCTGATAAAGAGAAAAATAATGTAACAATATCTCACTTGCAATTATACTTGTGAGCTTGAAAACTGTGCCTGGCCTGAGAGCAACTTAGAAAACGAGCTTAGAACTGTTGTGCTGGGGTGTTGGGTGTTGGGTGTACCATTATTGGCAGAGCTAATGAGAAGTTCACCTGCTTTGAAAAGATTTGGTGGGAAGGCCCCCCTAGTATAAGCGGCTAATGGTTCGGATAGGTTTGATTATTTGAGAGTGTACAAATTATCACAGGGTGCACCTACTTAAGCAAATGCCCACTTTTTACTTATCATTAGCAAATGTGTTTGACTGTAGTAAGTACACTAGGAAAATTTAATTTTGTTGTATACAAATTACATTTAGGGGTAAAATATTAGTTACAGTAAGCATGTATCTAAAGATCTAAGGCAGTCATTAACCTCTCGATTTGAAAGGGTTAAAACTAGGATGGAGTACAAAATGTTTACCATCCATACTGGATAAAGTACTGATATAAAACCACAGTAGGTATATTCAAATTTTGAAATGTTTGCTCAATAGAACAATAAACATTTTACCTTTGACTTTGGCTGCAAAAACTTTACTGAGAGAATGTTCAGGATGTGATGTCCCAGCTACAAGGCTCATCTTAGAACGAGAGCTAAGTCTGGCGGGGCTCTGCCTGGAAGCTGCACTGCTACTGTCACCGTTGGGGGTCGGACTGTAAATATTAACAAACGTTTTTTCAGGAATCCCATATTTTAACAAACCACTTTCTTTCAACAAGTAAGAGAAAATGGCAAGTTTTTGTGAACATTTTATTACTGTAGGATAATACTGAAGAACTATAATTCTTAAATAATTTAAATCGGAGAATTTAGTTCCCAATAATGAATTGTAACATTAAATCTCTAACATGGGTTAACACTAGCATGTGTAATTGGTGCAGTTTTTTTAAGTACAATGCTGCTTGACATTTTATCTTACCTTGAGATGATTTCGATATCCGAGGAGGTTGTAGTTTCCAGCTCGTCGCCAGAAGTGTGTCCACTGGAGCCAATTTTGATCATGTCTGACCGGCTAGAGAGAATATCCAGACATTAATAATGAACATTAACCGGTACACACATTTTTTTATTAAGCCTAAAAAATTTAAAACTGCTTGTCTAAATACATCATAAAGTAAAAATTGCATTAAAAAAAAAGATTTGCTCAATTGTAGCATTATGTAAAATCACTTATGTATAAAAGCTCAACGCTGCAGTCTCTCCAGACTGCTTCGAACTGGAGTAAACAATAGCAGTATTTCTCAAACAAAAAACTAAGACTATTCTCTGTGAGGAGGTTGCTCAGTCATTGCGTCTGCCAGTAGGTTGGTGAGATAGGAGGTTGATGTAGATGTACCTAGAGTTGTCTCCTCCCCACTACTGGCCATCAGTGTGCCTTCCTCACACCTAGACACTACAGTTTTCACTTACCTCTCAGATGATATAGGAGAGTGTTCTCTGTGAGGAGGTTGCTCAGTCATTGCGTCTGCCAGTAGGTTGGTGAGATAGGAGGTTGATGTAGATGTACCTAGAGTTGTCTCCTCCCCACTACTGGCCATCAGTGTGCCTTCCTCACACCTAGACACTACAGTTTTCACTTACCTCTCAGATGAAATAGGAGAATGTTCTCTGTGAGGAGGTTGCTCAGTCATTGCGTCTGCCAGTAGGTTGGTGAGATAGGAGGTTGATGTAGATGTACCTAGAGTTGTCTCCTCCCCACTACTGGCCATCAGTGTACCTTCCTCACAGCTAGACACTACAGTTTTCACTTACTTCTCAGATGATATAGGAGAATGTTCTCTGTGAGGAGGTTGCTCAGTCATTGCGTCTGCCAGTAGGTTGGTGAGATAGGAGGTTGATGTAGATGTACCTAGAGTTGTCTCCTCCCCACTACTGGCCATCAGTGTACCTTCCTCATGGCTAGACACTACAGTTTTGACTTACCTCTCAGATGATATAGGAGAGTGTTCTCTGTGAGGAGGTTGCTCAGTCATTGCGTCTGCCAGTAGGTTGGTGAGATAGGAGGTTGATGTAGATGTACCTAGAGTTGTCTCCTCCCCACTACTGGCCATCAGTGTACCTTCCCCACAGCTAGACACTACAGTTTTCACTTACCTCTCAGATGATATAGGAGAATGTTCTCTGTGAGGAGGTTGCTCAGTCATTGCGTCTGCCAGTAGGTTGGTGAGATAGGAGGTTGATGTAGATGTACCTAGAGTTGTCTCCTCCCCACTACTGGCCATCAGTGTGCCTTCCTCACACCTAGACACTACAGTTTTCACTTACCTCTCAGATGATATAGGAGAGTGTTCTCTGTGAGGAGGTTGCTCAGTCATTGCGTCTGCCAGTAGGTTGGTGAGATAGGAGGTTGATGTAGATGTACCTAGAGTTGTCTCCTCCCCACTACTGGCCATCAGTGTGCCTTCCTCACACCTAGACACTACAGTTTTCACTTACCTCTCAGATGATATAGGAGAGTGTTCTCTGTGAGGAGGTTGCTCAGTCATTGCGTCTGCCAGTAGGTTGGTGAGATAGGAGGTTGATGTAGATGTACCTAGAGTTGTCTCCTCCCCACTACTGGCCATCAGTGTGCCTTCCTCACACCTAGACACTACAGTTTTCACTTACCTCTCAGATGAGATAGGAGAATGTTCTCTGTGAGGAGGTTGCTCAGTCATTGCGTCTGCCAGTAGGTTGGTGAGATAGGAGGTTGATGTAGATGTACCTAGAGTTGTCTCCTCCCCACTACTGGCCATCAGTGTACCTTCCTCACAGCTAGACACTACAGTTTTCACTTACCTCTCAGATGATATAGGAGAGTGTTCTCTGTGAGGAGGTTGCTCAGTCATTGCGTCTGCCAGTAGGTTGGTGAGATAGGAGGTTGATGTAGATGTACCTAGAGTTGTCTCCTCCCCACTACTGGCCATCAGTGTACCTTCCTCACAGCTAGACACCCCGGTTTCACACTCACTGCCTACACTCTACAATCAAAGAGATCAGGTCACATTAAAAGGTTTAAATTTCGGAGTTCTTGGTAAACCTATCTGGTTGGGTTGGAAACTAGTTTAACTTCACATGAATAGTACTTTTATTTATGCAAAGAACAAATGTCTACATTCAAAATTTAATGCATGTTCTATCACATACCCAGCCAAATCTATTTTATGGAACTATATTTCATAACTATATTACAGCAGAATCCCTCTTGTTCGACTTCAGTTGGGGTCGGCTGCTGAAAATTACGGCCGGTCTCAGGGAGATGAGTTATTTATAATTTCATATGTTTATGGTTTTTTACTGTACAGTACCGGTATAAGATTGTTTATGGGGGTGAATGTTGAGTAAATGTGAGTTCTGTATGCGGGTATACTGTTAGAAAGATGCATTCTAAAATGAGTGGAATACGTAAACATAAGTTTGTGGCAATGGAACAAAGACTCAGCATTCTAGAGCATCTTGATGGGGCGCAAATTTGTCCAGTATTGTAAAAACACATCAATAAGTGGAAAAACAAGACAATTCAAGAAAAATATGTCAAAAGCTTAATTTTGGTAAGTAATGTTGTACAAAAATATTAAAAATAATGTTGTTTGTTGATTTGAAAGTGTTAGTCATTAATTTATTAGGATTATTTTAACCTTTGATAATACATTCGGTTAGTCTGGCCATTTTGTAGTTTGGCAGGTAGTCCAGTCCTAAAGTGGCCAAACTAGAGGGATTCTACTACAAGTTTAATCTGCCGTTTAACTTAGAGCAGCCAATCCTAGTTTAGGCCTATTTAGAAGAAACTTACATCTCGAGGAGGCTCTGTAAAGGAAGTGTCCAGAGACGATGTTGATTTGAGCATCAAGTCTCTCGATGTTGACGATGTGGACATTAAATCCCGTGATGTTGTTGAAGCAGACATCAAATCTCGCGATGTTGACGAAGCTTGGGGAAGATCCAGAACTGAATGACAGAAACATAGGTGGATTAAACATCAATTCTAAACACATTAATGAAGATAACATTGATAGGTACTTTCCTGTTAAAGGGAACATTCATTATTATCGATGATTTTTTTCTCGATATATCGATATTAACAAATTGAAACATATCAGCTGACAATGACGAAAAATATTGTTCAGTATCAACAAACATTAATGAAATGAAACTGTTCTAAAATAAATAACCTAACATAACTAACCAAACTTGCTGTAACATTTAAAAATTCCGCGTTTAAAACTTGCCTTTTATATTCAACCCAAACGGTTATGTTTAAATGGTACAGCAAGTATGGTTGGTTATGTTAGGTTAGCTTAGAACAGTTTCATTTCTTGTTGTCAATTTGTAATGGATCGGAAAACCAAAACATCGATATATCGAGAAAAAAATCATCGATAATAATGAATGTTCCCTTTAACAGGAAAGTACCCATTGATATATATTTTAAGTCAACCAATATTTTTAATCTTCCACAAGAATACTTTTGTTTTGTTTTGTTTCGTTTTTAAATACTAAAGACACATTTCTTCTCATCCTACCTTTATTTACTTACATCTTAACCACTTTCTGTGTATTTGGCTATATTTCCAGAGGGTGTGCGGCTGGGAAATAATAACTTTAGGATACTGGGTAAGATGGAACAGTATTTCATCACTAGGGCCTAAAGTGACTCTTTTTGACCCGAGGTCAAGTTTTACGATCAGGGCGAAGCCAAGGTCGGAAAATGAGCGAGGGTTAAAAAGACACTTTTTGCCCGTGTGGTGAACTTTATTTTTTTGCATCAATTAACAAACTAAGGTAGAAAACGAAATAATTTTTATGTAGAGATAACCTCTTAAAACGACTTCCAGCTTGTTTTCAATTCTGATAATGCAAATAAGCAGCTGTTTAGTAAGCGATTCAATCATTTTGTCTATTACAATTGTGTTACTGGACATTATACCATCGATATGTCGAACAATCAAAAACAATAGGTAACCACCTTACCTAATAAATCAAACGATAAATAATTTTGATTGATATGATTGCCACAATTGGAATTTACAACAGTTTACAAAAGTTGATTTTTACTCCCTAGAGAGTAAAATGCTACTTTAGACCCGCAACGTATGCATTAAAAATGGCTGTTTTTGCTTCAGAATGGCAAAAAAGTGTTTTTGTATTAGAGTTTTACTAAAAGAGCTGACAGAAATGAATTTTACTAAACTAAAATCTTTTAAATTCAAAATTGTGTTCTTCTTACAATCCAAATAGGTTCTCCAGGAGCATAAACATTTCAATTGCACATCTTAAAAATGTTTCCAGCTAAGCCTACTTCATCATAAATGTAAATAATTTGCATCCCTATAATTCTACGAGATATTTAATGGTTTTTCTAAGAAGTAACCAACAATCACCTGTTCCCGCTGTTAGAGTTTCCGAGGCAGAGGTGTAACTGTCCTCGGCCACGCTTGGTTCCGAGTCATCCACTAGTTCAGGAGGACCTTCCCCTTCCGCTATGGGTGATATGCTGTCACTCGAATACCTATAAAGAAAATATTAAATAGAAAATAGACTGAATAGATTTACTTAGCTCAAAACAAAAACACAATAATCACTTTTCATCACTCCGTAACGAAAGTAACTATTTTCGATAACAGCTGACATCAATGAAAGTAGCCGTTTCCCAAGCTCTAATTTAGGGCGAGGAAAAATCGATCAGCTGATTTTCCCTCGCTCTAAATTTACTTTCGTCGCTCTCAATTAGTTCTCCATTTATTCACTACGCGCGCTAGTGTTTTGTTACAGTTTAATTTAATGATTTGAATCAGCTGTTTTTATTGTTTGACAATCTAAATGTAAACATAAACAGGCATAAGCTTGTTTTGCTGTGTTTTTAGCTTAGTGCGTATTTAAAAGCGGCCAAAATATGTCTATTATTTCGGACGATTTATCGAAGAAAGCTTTAGAGATAACCAAAAACCTCCTTCCAGAGAAATCGAGAGAGAGGTATAATGAGGAGTTCAGGAAGTTTATGGACTGGTGCCAAGGACACAATGTTTTACCAAAGAATGTAAGTGACGAAGTTTTATTAGTATATTTATCTGAGAAATCTAAAAGCATGAAACCAACAACGTTGTGGAGTAAATTTTCTATGATAAAGAGTGGTTTGAAATTAAAAGAAAATGTGGATGTATCCAAATTTAACAAATCTCTAGCATTTCTTAAACGTCAATCAGTGGGTTATCAACCTACAAAAGCTAAGGTTTTTACTGAAGACGAAATTCAAAGATTCATGGTTAACGCTCCTGACAATGAATGGCTATTGAGCAAAGTCATCCTAACGCTCGGTATTTATGGAGCTTGTCGAAACCACGATCTTATAAATTTAAAAGTAGAAGATATTACAGACAATGGCAGTTTTTTTGTCGTGTTTCTCAACGATGGCAAAACACACATTAAACGCAGTTTTACCATAACCAATGACAACTGTCCATATAGACCATGTGATTTGATTCGCAAATATTTGTTATTGCGCCCCAGACAAATGAAAAGTAACCGATTTTTAATTGGTTACAGGAAGGGTAAATGCGTGGGACAAAATGTAGGGGGTCACACAATCAGTTCAATCCCAAAAAAGGTAGCAGAATACCTTAAATTAGACGAACCGGAGCGCTATACTGGACACGCCCTCAGGCGTACCTCAGCCACCATGCTAGTTGAGGGAGGAGGGGATTTACTTGCCCTTAAATCACACGGAGGTTGGAAATCCTCTAATGTCGCAGAGAGTTACATAGAAAATTCCATTGGAAGAAAATTACAACTGTCAAGAAAACTGTTTAAAAATCCGCATGCAATGAGTTCAACAGCTGCTGAGAATACAAACAGAAATGTTGTAGAAAAATCACATTCAGGAAGCCAAATAGATTTTTTTGACATTGATCATGTGTTTAACAACTCAGAAGATGAAGAATGTCCTCAGAGAAAAGTAAGAAAAGTTGATGAAACAAACACGACCACTACAAACGTTTCAACGATTCAAGAACTTCAGAAAAAACTTTTAAACGAAGGAGTGAATGTCTCCAACAATGAAAACTGTACAATAAACATAACCATAAACTTCTAATTTTTTGATTGTGAAGTAGGTTCCCTTTAGATTTTTTTTATGTTTAAAAAAAGATTAATCGAGAAATATACAAAGGTTTCCTTTTAGAAGATTTTATTTTGATGTTTAAAATAAATAATTTAGAAATAAACTAGTTGTAATATTACTGAGGTCTGTTATTCTGTGTTTGTGTATTTTTGCGTCGTGATGAAAAGTATCGTTCATAACTCGTACCGAAAGTTATTTTCCGGCTCTTGCTCCATTATTCCCGTCCTCGGCTTCGCCTCGTACGTGAAAATAGCTCTCACATACTCGGCTTCGCCTCGCATGTGAAATTGGATTTTCCTGTGTTCGGCTTCGCCTCACACAAAAACTTGAGCGCGCTCCGGAAAATGCTACTTTCGGTCCTAGTAATGAAATATACTATTATTTTCTAATTATAACAACAAAGGACTTCTAAAATATTATTAACAGATATTGTTGTAATTCAAAATTGAATTAATCTGAAATAGAACATACTGAACACCATTATATTTTTATATAATAGTATAGATAAATGTTGGCTAACTATTTTAGTTTGAATTTATTAAAGTAGGAGTTTATTTCATGGTGTCAGGTGAATAAAAATGGAGTGCAGATTTCCTGGAAAGCTACCGGATAAAAGTGATAGTCTGCCATAAATTTTGGCTAACTATTTTAGTTTGAATTTATTAAAGTAGGAGTTTATTACAACAACTTGACTTTGCAACTTGAGTTGCATTTAACTGGGGCAATTATTAAATTTTCGATATAAAAATAGCTTGTGGCTTATATAAATTTACTAAAACAAAATATAGTAATTAAAAGAAGAGATTATATTATAAATCATTGAAACCCTTTTGTTTTAAGAAACAACAACAGTAAATTAATTTTAAAACATAAAGAAGAAGTCCGCTGATCATAATATGATGGCAATTAAAAATTAAATACAGTAGGGACAGTAAGTAGTAGATTCATATTAGGATTCATGTTAGTGTAAAACTATACAGAGTGATTGATATAAGTGTGCCAGCCGTTTTATTCGAAAACTATAAGAGATATCAAAAAAAGTTAAATGGTAAGTCCCTTGGATTTTTTATTAAAAAAGTTATAGTCAAGTCAAAAAAATTATTTTAGCCGCCATTTTTCCAATATGGCCGCCAACTTTGATTTTTCTTATAGAACACCCTGTATTTTATGATGTATTCTGGTAGAAAAAGTAATTTTAAGACGATTTTATTCTTGTGATTTTTTTCATAAACCTAACCGTTTCAAAGATAATAATGGTTTAAGTTGTAAAATTTTTAATGGTTTTTGAACAAAACAGCTGGCATGCTTGCTTAGGCCTTTATCAAAACTCTTTCTCATGCAGAAATTTCAAAACTTTAACCATTATTATCTTTGAAACGGTTAGGTTCATGAAAAAAATCACAAGAATAAAATCGTCTTAAAATTACTTTTTCTACCAGAATACATCATAAAATACAGGGTGTTCTTTAAGAAAAATCAAAGTTGGCGGCCATATTGGAAAAATGGCGGCTAAAATAATTTTTTTGACTTGACTACAATTTTTTTAATAAAAAATCCAAGGCACTTACCATTTAACTTTTTTTGATATCTCTTATAGTTTTCGAATAAAACGGCTTTTCACATATACGGCATTTCACAAGCTTTCCAGTTCCAACCATTTGCTACACTATTGAAGTTTGGATATGCTTTTGTTTGTTTTAGTGGTTTGAAAACTAGAAAACAAAGAACTTTTTTACTGTTTTTATTGTTCAAACAGAAACATAAATACAAGTTTTGCTTAATACATGCAGACTAATCTATGTTTAAAATGTTAAAAACACCATGTTTTGGAGTCTTCAAACCACTAAAGCGTACAAGCAGATCTAAAACTCAATAGAGTAGCATATGGTTCGAAATCTTGTAAACTGGCACAGTTTTTAACATATTTTGCTACATTCTTGTATACAGAGTGTAGAAAAATGCAATAGACTATTTTTTTTTTTAATTTCTATCACAGAGCTTGTGTTATATTTATTTTATTCTAAATTAAATGAGAAAAATAAAATATATTGTTATTGTTATATAGTATTTATTTCTTAGATGACTACTAAACTTTATAAAAAAATATATGAAAACCAAAACGATGTTAGCAACCATAGACAACCATAGACGAAAACGAACAAGCAAAAAAAACACAGGGCAAAAGAAATAGTTTGCAAAACAGCCATTGTTATTGGTTGTCATGAAGTCCAGAATCTGCTAAACACGTTTGTATGCATTGTTGCTGGGATCTTTCGATAGTACAGGATTATATCGAACGAAACAGAAAACCTGCAATGTCGCCGTAAATATAGCGACTGACACTTGTGGCAAAAACAAAGTCGCTATAATTACAGCGAATGACCCTAAGAGGGTGTAACTTGGATTTGCATGTATACAAGTATCTCATAGGTCTGTGCATGAAACGTAGGCAAAGCAAGGGGTGAGCCTGTACAGTACAAGAATAACTGATAGCCTACTAATAAATTCAACGTGGTGGTATCAGGACATGAAACATTGCTGGCTTGGTTTCACTGTTCATTGTGCTACTAACTGAGCCACCCAATCACCCCTTGCACTAGTCACACTCAATAAACAAACAACCTATAAAGGTTAAAGCTGCTAGTACTTAAACCTGATCTTTTAGTCAACTTTAGCCACATCCTGACCAAACGTAATCCATGCAAACAAACACACCATCTTAAATAACATTGTATTAGCCTAACACAAACAAAATATGTGAAACTAAAAACTGTTTCCAAAAGGACTTTACCTGTGTTCACTAGCAGTAGACCCGAGAACTTCAACACTGCTGGGAGACGTAAGTACTTCAACAGACTCAAAGCTGCCCGACTGCCGCAGTCTAACGACGGACGAGGAGGTGGAGAGGGAATGTTGAGGGTCAGAATCAGGCGTACAACTGCCGAGTACTTCACAGCTGGAACTCGACCTACAGAGGGAAATATGCAAGAAATTCATCAAAGACTATAAACAAGTGTTGTTTGCAAAACATTTGTCTTGCTAAAATGTCTGGGTAGGTAGTAGCTGTTTTGGTTTGTAGTAGTATAAATTACTTGTCAGCTTAAACATTGTTCAAGGTAATGGAAAGTGTTTGTTATATTTACTTACAAAATTTAAATCTTACATTACAAGGCTACATCCAGTCACATAACATCTGTCTAGAGATGTGTAAAAAAACCAAACCAAAATCTTTAAACCACTGAAAAAAGTTTTGGTTTCAATATTCAATTAACAATTTTAAAAACTCAAAAGTGACAACATTTTTTCAGTGATCATTGTTTTAAACAGAAATCAAGCATGTTTGTCCTCTTAAAATGTGAAGATCACAAACATTGTGGTTATTGGTTGTCTATCGTTAATAGTGACATACTGTATTGGGAAAAAATTATTTATTTTCTGTGTCCTTTTTCCCAAATAATAAGGTTAAGTATATCCATCAATGAACAACACGCAAGTAAACAGTTAACATTTACCTTATATTTTAATATCCAAAAATTTAATAGAAAAACTGCCAAAAATTTAATAGAAAAACTGCTATGTCCAGTATGAGATGCTAAGCTAAATTTAAAGCATTTTGATTTTTTAAGATTTGTTTCCAGTTTTTAGATTTATAATGTTTGGTTTTAACAACTATCACTATACCGGTACCTCTCATATTCTAATTTTTATACCACAGGGATTATAACACACAAAATGTAATTCTGCTCTACATCTTGTCTAGCTAACCAACATCAGTTCAACAAGGAATTTTATAAAACGTAAGACTGATTACCTTCGATCACTTTCAGACGAAATAGCAGATAACCGGTTGTTATAGTTACGAGGTTCTTTTTTCCTATAGACTACTGGCGGAAAGTTGAGAATCTCTTCTCGGATATCAGAAGGACAGCTCGGATCAGGGGTTTTTGCCTCTGAAGGTGAAGTATTAGCTGTACTAGCCGAGGGAGGCTGAAATGTGGCTGTTTTTTTGGGCTGGTTTGAAATAAAGTTAGTAGGACGACTAGGAGTCTCAGGGTTCTCTTTTGCATCATCTGTAATCAAAATTTAACATTTACAAAGTTATAAATAACAGATAATGAAGTTACTAAACAATTAAAGATTAAAATATAAAATGCACTCTTATGAAACATTATTAAATAATTTGATAAAGTGACTGACAATTAAGTTAAAGATTTGACAAATATATCCTAGTAATAGTAGTAGTAGTAGTTATAGAAGTTTCCATGTAAAAGCTTTATAGCCAATTTAGAATAAAAATAAACATTGTTACATTGAGCAACTGGCAGAATGTGTTGTGCATATCACACAAAAGGCTACCGATTTATTTGTCTAAGCCGAACTGAAAGGAAATGACAGCTTATTGTAAATTATTGCATGTTATAGACACATAAACTATCTCAGTATCAGTAACAGGTGTTCAATTTTACTAGCGGCTACAGCTGATCCTTACAGATGGGATGTTTATTACAAAACCAATGGTCAACGGTCAAAGGTCCTATTTTCGGTCAATTTTGCTGAGCTTATTTTATTTATTAAACTACGGCAGATGAATAAGACATAGATCAATCAATCAATCAATCAATTAAATCAATAAATTATTAAAGATGGGGACGCCACTATGTGCATATTTTAACCCAAATATGAGTGAAGGATGAGTCTAGGATGAGTGGCGCGATCTTGTTAGTGACTAAGGCCGACATGTTCCTTAGACACAGCTGTTAATTAATAGCCAATACAGCCAATGGCAACTAAGTCAATATGTAAGGGGATTTTAAATAAAGGAAATCTTTGAAACAAGTGTGTGAGAAAATACGAGGCATGTTTTTTATGTAAGTACCGTTTTTAAATTTCTCCGTTCCAGCACTGCGATTGGCATTTTCAACATTTGCGCTGTGTATGGGCATCTATTGGTAAGACCTAGCCAGAAATTCGAGAACAATCGGCCGTGTTTACATCCGGTTTCAAGCATTCAAAATGGTGCCGCCAATTGAGACTACCGCCGACTGTGAAGTTCGCGCTGTAATTAGATTTTTAAGTGCTAAAGGTTTGAAAGCTATTGAATATCATTTAATAAGCATGAATAAAGCATATTTGATTTGATTTGATTTGATATCATCGTCGGATTAGTGAAATGTATGGCGAGAACATTATGAGTGACGGAGTGGTACGCAAGTAGGTAAGGGCATATTAAGACGGCCCCATCAATGTTCATGATGAGCAACGCACTGGGTCCGGGGACAGTAATGACGCCGCCCAGTGCGTTACTCATCATGAATGTTGGTGGGACCGTATTTAAATGCCCTTATCCACTTGCGTACCATTATGACACTCATAATGTTCTCGCCATACACTTCACTAATCTGTCGATGATTTTCAATGGCTTTCACATCTTTAGAACTTAAAAATCTAATTGCAGCGTGCACTTCACATTTGGCGGCAGTCTGAATTGGCGGCACCGTTTTGAATGCTCAAAACCGGGTGTAAACACGGCCGATTATTCTCGAATTTCCGACTAGGTCTTACCAATAGATGCCCATACACAGTGCAAATGTCGAAAATGCCAATCGCAGTGCTGGAACGGAGAAATTTAAGAACGGTACTTACTTAAAAAACATGCCTCGTAATTACAGGACTACTTTTCCCCACTAAAGCCACTACAGATGAAATTTAATATCAAAAAACGCTTGATAATCTGACACACTAATGGAGGTATTACTACACATTCTTGAAGTCATAACAGCCATATTCAAATACAGCTTATTGAACAAAACTTGTTGTACCTAACTCCATTTTAACAGCTACAACTAGGAGACAGTTTTTAAAGACATAATAAATTAGATTATTATTATTGGCCTACTGACTAAAATTTCTCTTATGAAAGAGGCTAAAAGAATAATAAAAAACAAAGAAAATTTAACACTTACTTTCTAGCAATTTAGGATTTTCAAAAAACGAGCCTGTGAAGGATCCCCACAGACTTCCACTTTGACTAAGTTTACTCGAGGATGAGAGTTTTGGCTCACTTTCACTCCGAGGCACTCCTTGGTCTACCCACATTTCCGTCTCAGCACCAGGTGACGTCACTAGAAAACGAGTATCATTTAGTAACGAGTCATTTGATTTTAAGAACAAATTAAGCTGTTTTTATCAAAGTTCTTAAATGCTACTTTACTGGAGGAACTCGCTAACTCAAACCCCTATACAAGTCAAGTCAAATCAACTACAGTAGACTCCCTCTTATCCGGACTCCTCGGAACTGAGGCCAGTCCGGATAACGGTTTTTCCGGTTAAACCGACGTCCCTAAAAACTTGTTAAAATGGACCGTTTAGTGTGGTATTTGACTTTAATTTAGGAGAGCATTGTATTTAGACACGTCATCACTGGTCTCAAATCTTTCCCACAAGAACAGTCGTTTCAATACCGCCCACTTCCTGCCGACCTAGTCCGGTTAAACCAATGTGCTGATAAAAATTACCTGGTTTAAGAGATGTCATTTCCGTTGAGTGTAGTCTGGTTAAACCGATGTCTGGTTAAAAGGTGTCCGGATAAGAAGGAGTCTACTGTATGCACTTTATCTCGGAAAATCAAGATTAACCTCTTTATTTTTAGGTTTTCTCAACCGATCTCTAGAAGTCAAAACCTCGGAGTACAGGTTGCTATGTGTTTGTTAGCCATATTTAGTCCTGCAAACAACGGCTGTGTTGAGAATTTCAGTCACATGGAGTACAAAAAGAAACCATGTGAAGTGTATTGTATACCGACAAATGAAGAATGGTTTGGGGGAAGAGGACCAACCCCGTGACTGATGTGGGTTTCTACAGTTGTAGCCGGGGGTGAGAAGGAAGGAGGGAGACTTTTGTTTGCTATTGCGGGTTTGGGGGTGATATATGGCGGTTATGGGATATTGGCGGGAGTTCGGGAAATCGGAGGGAATAACAGGGTAATGCTAACTATGGATCCAAGGAAAACCTAGAGGGTGCTGGTACTGGTGAGCTTTTGGTATACAGGGAACAGAAAGGAAGTGGGAATCCGCCTTTCTTTGGGAGTGCACTCAACTGTTTTCCAAGCGGAAGTCACTGCCCTTTTGGTTTGAACCTGTGAGAATAATTTCAGTAAGGAGACCAGAGACCAAAGAATCTGTATCTACACTGACAGTCCTGCTTTTATCTCAAACAAATTCAACTTCAAGATTGTCTTACACCTTGTCGAAATCAGGAATAGGAACTATCTAACATTTGTTTGGGTACCTGGTCACTCAGACCTTGAGGGTAACGAGGCTGCTAACATTCTGGCAAATGTTTCTTTGGCGGCATTTTTGTTCGGTCCTAAACCCTTCTGTGGCATCTTACATCTAGGTGCGTGTGCACCTCCATCATGACATGGGCCACTGAAAAACATTGTAAGAGATGGGCTGAAGCACCCCTCTTAAGAGAAAATAAGCTCATTCTTCACACGCCTTTGCTGGACATAGGTGGTTCAGAAAGCAACTGCATCGAATGAGTTTGTATGATGATGGCAAGTTCAGCAGGTCAGATAAGACTGCTGATCACCTGTTTTTGACTGTGAGGTGCTCCCTGAGGTAAGAAGGACAACTCGTGGCAATCTGGGAAGAAGGAGTTAACTTCTTGAATAGGAACATATAGGTTTATCAGATGCCTGGACATTGAAGGTCTCTTTAGAATGTATCAACTCACTGGGGTGCGAAATAATTCGACAAATCTGGATGAAGCATTTTGAGGCTTCGGCCTACCCCTTCCAGATAAGATAAGAGTGCAAAAAGACAATTTTTGTATTTTATTTTAGTACGGTATAGGCTGTAGGTAATAAAGACAGTTTTCACTATTTTTCACCTCTACATTTCAATTGATTTACTAATACATTTCAATGTCTATGAAACTAAAATTTAATCAATAAGTTAATTTTTTAAACTATGCCTCAAAATATAGCTTAGTGAAAAATCTGTTTCACTAATTTTGTCGGCTGCGTTCAGCTTGGGTGATAAGAATGTGTGTGTGGAGATATTAAGCACGGGTAAAAATGGTCTAATAGGAAATAAGCACTGTTTTTAAAAAGACCAAGAGCTCACTAATTTTCCTTACATACAACAAATTGTCGCTTACGCCCCTTCGTCTTGCAGGCATTGAAGCATAGGGTCACAGACAGTAAGAGCCTACACATGGCAACTCTTGGCGAAATTCTTGATTCTTGCTTGATAAAGCCTAGGCCTACTTTTAATAGTTATTATAACAGGGTGTCTTGCTAGCTAGAGGTTAGTGTCTAAGATGTCAGTAACAGGGTAGAGTCCAATTCCAGGCACATATACAAGACTATTATGGGTTTGGACAGTTTTTTTACAAATATTTGAGTTGACTTCATCAATAATAAATAGCACTGGCGTAGTCACAAGCAAAAAAAGTTTAACCACATATAAGGTCTACCATATTTTAGAAAACCCCAACTGTTCATCCCCATAAGCCAAAAGAATGTGTTTATTAAGTAAGTAATTGTAAATTAATTAAAACTTGACTTCTTGAGGTGCATGCAAATTTGCTACTTTACTTTTTAAATTTATTTTCATTTTTATTAAACGGCAAACACCATTTTACAAGTGGGTTTAACAAGATTACATTATACATTGTGCATACATACATACCAACGACAGAGCCATTTGAAAATGAGCGAAAAACAGTTTCCTAACTAACAATTAATTGCTATAATCCTAAACTAACAATTAATTGCTAGCCATTTATGCTAGCATTAAATGAACTAGGCCTATACTACTAGTTATTGGCCTCTTAACCATTACAAATTTATTTCATAACTTGATTCGGATCCAAGTAAAAATGTTAACATGATACTTATTTTTAATATTGACCAGAAAGCTTAAGGGGAGTCGCTACTAAAAACAACCAATTTTGTAAAAAAAACCATTATTTTTGTTTTTTTTCTGGTTCTATGGTATATTTTAAGGTTTTAGGAAAACACAACAAAAGGAATAATATATATTTTTATCACTATGAAAAAAAATATTTGAAGTGGAGGGTACACAGCTGTTCCGGGCATCAGATTGAAACATCAACCACTGTTTTCCGCAAATTAAAAATTGGTGTTTTTTTTACATATAATTACATATATAACTTTTTAACTAGGGTATTAACTTTAAGCTATATGAATGAAATTTTGTTTACACATTGTTTATACTACTGTATAGAGCAACTTTTTGTGCATGGATATTGTAATGGTACAAGTAGGCCTACATGAAAAAAATGAATTACATAGGAATTTTTAAAAAATTACCCGAAGCCATAAACTAGTTTGGAAAAATATATTAGTATGCACAAAAGTTGGTACATTTTTTGCTCTTTAAAATGAGGTACCAAGCAATAAAATTGGTTCAGTAGTTATAAGAGAGTTGAAAAACCCTCAAAAAACTCCAAAAAGTACTTTAACAGCGGTAATCCTTTTTCTAAGACTAAATGAAGTTAAAAAAGTATATACTATGACAGTTTTTTTTTCAGTAGCGACTCCCCTTAAAAACTTTTAATTTTTGTCTAGTTAGCCTAACATAGGAGATTATTCCAAAAAAAACATGCACTGGTGTATGCAATATTTCAGACTAGCTGTACCCGCGGGCTTCGCCCCGTTTTACTTCATAAGTGAGCTCGTTCGCATGGCTCAATCACGTTCTGGTTGAAGTTCGTTTGCTACGCTCACTCACCTTTAGAATGGAGCTCGTTCGCTGCGCTCACTTGCCTTCAGGTTAGCTCGTTCGCTACGCTAACTCGCCTCCAGGTTAAAGTTTGTTCGCTGCACTCACTCAACTGTACCCGCGGGCATTGCCCCGTTTTACTTCATAAGTGAGCTCGTTCGCATGGCTCAATCACGTCCTGGTTGAAGTTCGTTCGCTACGCTCACTCACCTTTAGGTTGGAGCTCGTTCGCTGCGCTCACTTGCCTTTAGGTTAGCTCGTTCGCTACGCTAACTCGCGTCCAGGATGAAGTTCGTTCGCTACGCTCACTCACCTTTTGGTTGCAAATTAGCTGTTGTCATAGATAAAAAAAAAAATAATAGTGCTGCACCCTGTTGGTAGGGCGGAGCCCGAAAGGATTTTTGAGATAAGAATATGCCTATATGTTAATCGGGAATGTGAGCTATCATCATGCCAAATTTTAGCAAAATCCGTCCAGTGGTTAATGCGTTCACTTGTCACAAACATACATCCAAACTTTCTCATTTATAATATTAGTAGGATAAATAAAGTGGAGAACAATTAATTTTGAAATGCTATGTTGTGAAACAGACTTACAGCTGCTCTGAGTTACATGCTCAATATCCTCTTCCTTGATGTCAAGAGCTTTGTCTATAGTCTTTTGAGCTTCTTTCAGAGCCGTTTTTGCTAAATTAGCAAATCCTGTCGCATCAAACCAACTCATTGTGTCCATATAGTACCTAAAGACAAAGTAAGTGGTTATTTCTAGTGCCTTTGTTCGCCTAGTATTTTTTTTTGTCTGGACTCAAAATGTAGCCCTAATATAATCATTCTCTACTTTTTCAATTTTTTTTTTTTATAATTTCAATAATAATGTTTGACTGCCATCTAACTTAGTTAGGGTTATTTTTTGCAAATTTGTATACATATACATTTATTTGATTACCTCCTTCTACTAGGAGACCAGGTATGTTGAATAAAAAGTAAACATTTATTTGACAAAAATACACTGGATACAGGTAGGCCTACATTCATATTCAAAAGATATATCCTGTACCTACCTAGCTTAGGTCTTGGCCTATACACTTAATATTTACAAATAGCTTAGGTAATCGTATGACAGATGACCAGCTTTTCAAGGCTCTGTAAGTACGATTTGACTTTATTTAGGCCTACATGAAACTGTCACCGAAATTAGCTAATTTTACCCGAGTCACAGTACCCATTTTCTGCAATTGACCCGGGTCAACAAAATAAAATTAGCTATTTACGGTGGTTTTAAAATATGTAAATATTTTTTAATCGTTACCAAATTTTACATAGGCTTACTTGTAGTTGTAGAATAAGTTACATGTTGATATACCATAAGTTATACCTCCGTTCCAAGTTTCATGTAAATATCTAAGTTATATCCTGAGTGGTTTTTTTGCCAATTGAATTGTATTTGTTGACCGGGGTCAACAAAGTAGTAAGTCCCTCTTCAAGGCAGTAATACATTTCCAGATTTAAGAGGTCCTGAAGCAAGCCTGCTGTACATATCAGTGCCTTGGTCGGGTAGTGCTCTTGTCTTTGAGGTCTATAAAAGGGAATGACTATTTTGCTGTTTTGTCTAGTATGACATCTATGACCGGTATTGGCAAACAAACTTGCCACTAGTAGGTACATATCAAAAAGTACCATTTGGCTTGTTTTTAATCATAGTTAGATGTTACAGGCTAACTGAGATTTGGTGAAACTTGAACCACAGTTTAAACTTAATGCAATTTTTAAAAATGTACGCTACTTCCATGAGTTAGTTTTCAAGAAATCAGGGTGGTAATTATTTATGACACGCCAATTAACCTATCTTGAAATTATGCAGTTTCGGCCTATTGTTTTACACTAAAATTGACACCTTACGCCTAAGTTTTTCAAATTTAGGTTTAAGGTGAAATGGGGGTCCTCAACAACTACCAAAAAAATAATGATTGCAATGTGAATAAAGCATTTCTGCAGATAGCAAACTACGCTTAAATTATAAATTATAACTAGGCCTAGGCCTTTGCTATTGCTAAATGTGAGATAGGCCTAGGCCTGAGTTTGATTTGGACTCCTAACTTAATTGGAATACAATCCATCTAGCACAGTTTTACTTTTACTTACCTAGGCCTAAAGATCAACTAAGTTTAACAGGTTTAACTTAGCCCATTATTAAAAAGTATATTTTTGTTAGAGATGCAAGTTGAAAACCTACCTTTTTCTTAGAGCAAATTAGGAGATTTGGATATAATTACACTGTTTGACATATTTTAGAAGCATCGAATAATAACATAATTTATTTTATATCATTATTTCCAAGAATATTAAGCCTATGTACGCCCTTTAAGTAAACTAACCTATAAATCATAAAATAGTACATAGGCCTATTTATTTTAAAAATAAAAGAATCCGCATAGGGTTTTTAGTTTAAAAGTTATTTATAGAACCAAATACATCCAAAATATGACTTAAAACTTAAACTAACAATATGTTGAGCTGTATTTTAGTGCTTGAGTGATAAAAATATGACAGATCATCAACGATTATCATCGGAGTCGGAGAGCAGTCGACGTTTATTATCTTCTTGCAACTAACTGCAACTTTTATTGAAACAAACTGCAATGCAGTAAATCAGCTATGTGAACGTAATTCTCATATGTATTAAAGTTACAGTTAAAACTATGGTTAAAACAAAATTATTGTTTGCTTGAATAAATTTGAGGTGAACTTATAACCATAGTTTGTAATATAATTTATATACATGTTAACTTATAGCTAAATAAGCAGTTATTTTTATATTTCTCAATTGATATAAGCTTACACTCACAGATATCATAAATTTGTGCATAATTTCCCAAATAATAAAGGTTCAAGGTCCAAATAGTAAAAATTAGTCATTGTGTTTTATACATACGGTATAACATTGATAAGCTGTACTGGCTCACAAACTACGTGATCCAAGTTCGTATGCGACATTTAATGCGCTTCCCATCGCCTGCCCCAGTGGCGCAATCGGTTAGCGCACGGTACTTATAGACAGTAGTCGTGAGCAATGCCGGGGTTGTGAGTTCGAGCCTCACCTGGGGCATTAACTTTTTGATGCAGATTTATAGGCATTTTGATCAATTTCTCATTGGTATATTTTTGTATTGTATTTGCATTTAAGATTCAAATTAAATAATGTACTCAAAATTACTTTTTTTATTTTATTGTGCACATAAAAATTTAAATCAAATCTAGCTTTATACAGGTAATTATTTTATGAGGATTTGAGTTTGAGGTATTGTTTTATTGGATGATTGTGAATAATTTGGACATAGCTAACCAAATATATTATATCTCTAGCCAAGAAAAAGTTTGTTTGAGATATTTTTTTCAAACTGTAAGTTATTGTTATTTTTAATTTTTGAAGCCCACTTACAGTTTTTACTTCCCCCCCTATATCATAAATTAGTTATTATGGTATATAGGAACTAATTTATAGTATCTCCAGGGTTTTTTATATTTTGATTGTGACTTTCCAATAAAAAATCTATAAAATAAAAGAACAAATGGCCCGAACTATTTTGATAAAAGTATAGTATGTTATAGTACTTAAATTCTGAACAAAATGGTACTAAACTTCCATTGCTGTAAAAATTAATGTTCAAAGGTTATTGTAACTGTGTTATTTTCCCATTAAGAAAAAACATAAAAAACTTAAAAAAAATTAATTAAAAACATTTGTTTCGATTAAAATTAGGGGTACAAATTGTTGACTAGCTAATGGGAGAAAGTATGTGTCAGATTGCTGATACCGTTTTATGTAATGCATCATTTTCATATTTTGTTGTAGGTTTTGGTTTTACGCCTGAAAGTAACTTAAAAGCTAAAATACCAAAATTAAAATAATAAAAAACAAATTAGTCTATTTATGAGGATAGGAAATTAATAAAATAATTAAATCTCCACATCAATTACTAAAATTCTGATTCAACGAAGTGTTGATGGGATTGAATACACACTGTATTATGTATATAAGGTGTCATCTGTATAACGTAGTATGACGGTTTGTGTAGCTTTGTTTAAGAAGCATTGACAAATGATAAATTAATTACTCACTATTTTATTCTTATGACAAAGTTATCTTCAACAACCACATATCATTGGCAACAAACTATATACTTTATTTAGGATACCATAGTTTTATCAACTTATTCAAAAAATGAATATTCAGAAATTAGCACAAGAGAGGAATTAAATTGACACAATAAGCTGAAATCTAGAGGAACTTTTAAAGAAAATAAAAGATGTTGCTCATCCTTATAAAATAACTTGTTCAAACGAAACTCTGAAAAGAAATGAGGCGTCGAGAGGCCAAGGGAGATATGTGACTTTTTAAAAAATGTCATTATATTTTTTTCATGGTCATAAAAAAAATATAAAAATAAAAATACATACACTTTTACCCCTTGGCTTCCAACTCTTAGGTGTTTAGTTTGGAGGCCAAGGGATATAAGTGAATTATTTGTTGAAATTACACCCTTTTTTAACAAAACCCGTTACCATGACAACTATTTTTAAAAAGTCACATATCTCCCTTGGCCTCTCGACGCCTCAAATTCCATTGGAAAACTCTACTATTCATTATTACCCACCAACATTCTTTTACTTTATGATTTAGTGAAGTGTTTCCCAAACTTTTTTCTTGGAGTATCACTAAACAAACCAAAAATTTGTAGTGAACCACTCAGTCAAAAGGTAATTATCGATAGAATACTTATTAATAATTATTTTTATAATCTAACCAACCCACTCTCTAACCACACATATTCACCACTCGCCGGAGTAATATTTGGAGTGCAATATAGAAACATACCTGCATCAAGATCACCACTCGCCAGGCCCAAGAGTCTTTTCTTAAATTTCACTCATTACTTGAGTGCTATTATTTTTAATCAGTCACATACTTATTGCCTACTTTCTCCACCTATACATGGTATGGAGAAAGTATTGTTTTCATCAACATTTTTGAGCTTTGAGTGGATCCACCTGAATTAAAAAAAGTAGTTTTCGAAGTGATGTCTGTGTGTATGTGAGTTTGTGTTTGTCTGAATGTGTATGCATGTGTGGATGTGTACAGAACTATAGACCACACCTGTGGTCCGATTTTGATGAAATTCGGTATGTAGGTACTAATCCATGGTATCTCCAGGTTTTTTTATTTTTTTAATTTTGATTTGTATGGTGATTTTCTAGTAAAAACCTATAAATTAAAAGAAAACCCAAATTTTCTCAAAAATGGCCCGAACAGTTTTTATAAAAATTTTGCATTTTATAGCCCTTCTGAACAAAGTGGTACAACTCCCATTTTGTAAACATTATGGTTCAAAAGTTATTGTAACTGATGTTATTTCCCCATTAAAAAAACATAAAATGAAAATTTTTAATTATACTGGTTTGATTAAAATTAGTGTGTTATGGTCCTTATAATTCCAAAGAAAATAATGTAACCCCAATCACTGTAGAAATACGGTTCAAATGTTGCAACCTTTGTGATTTTCCCTAAAAAATATCATAGTTAGTCCCACCACTTACTTACTCATGATAAAGGTTGTTGAAAAGCAAATGGGAGAAAGTGTGTCAGATTGCTGATACTGTTTATTTATCACATTAAACAAACAAAATAATCCACATTCTAATGTCCTGTTTTCTACAGGCTACTGAGATGTTAGTGAGCCATGAACACATCCTGACATATAGGTGTGAAATATAATACTGTACTCAGATCGTAACCACGTGCCGAAGCAATTGCTTTTATGAATCACAAGAGGTATGCATACCACAAGTTGGGTAAACACCGATTCAGTGGATCCAATAAAATTACGCTTTCAGACAGACTCATTTACAACGGTCATTAATTTATAAACAAGATTTTATAAGATGCCTTTTTTACAAAAGAACCATTGTTATTAATACATAAAAGTACAATACTATATTTAAAAAATAATATTTTAATGGCATCAAATGAATTAAGGACGATTAAACAATTAAACCAAAATGTGGATCTAAAACTAAAAATAACACAACAATAACATGGGAAACATACATTATGTATTTTGTACATTAAAATTACATCATTATATACATGGAATGTGGTGTTATCAGAACATGCAAGGGTTTTTGGATTAAGGTTGGTATTTGGGGAGTTGAATATGAAAAAATTGAAAATGGTGTAAGTAAATATCATTGTGCTTATAATAATTTACAAATTGCACTAAGTAACAGTTTGATGATAAAAGTGTCCAAAAGTATACGTTTTCATCTCCAGCTGGTTCCTGTAAGTTTCCTCAAACCCCAAAATAGTACATCACTATACAATACACACAAATACAAAACAAACGCTCAGTAAAAACTGCAAACCATAAAGATACACACCTTGTGATACTTGGGTACAGCCTGAGGATGGTTGCTGAGTACATTCTGTAGATTAACCATAAACAGGTATACTATATTCAATATTTATCAGTGATCCAAAAGTAAAACAAACATGAGTTAGAAAACTCCATAAAAGGTAGGAGAAATTAGAACTCTTAAGTGCCAATCTAAATAGTAGACATTCAGGAAAAGGATATTGAATAAATAATTATTATGTATCTAAACACATATTTACAAGGATTTTTTGTGAGGATAGCAGGCTTACATGAATAGATGTCTGAACAACTCAAATGCTGTCAGTGACGGTGAAATATTCTGATTTTTTTTTTAACATTTAGTGTACATTTTTGTGTCTCTTGAGCCAGTTAGGACTAGTTCCCATTCAGGTAAGCCTGTTATCCTCACAACAAATCCTAAAACCTAGACCTTTGTGCTCTATGTAAATAAATCCTTGACTTTTTTACAAGTTAATCAAAACAGAGGGTTAAATCGTAGTACAGGAACTATATTATACTCCCTTCATGGGTTCATATTATACGTCTATAAATTAATTTACATCCCTATTCAATTATATCAATTATTTAACATGGGGACGCCACTATGTGCGTATTTTAACCCAAATATGATTGAAGGATGAGTGTAGGATGAGTGGCGCGATCTTGTAGTCTTGTTACTAACAATTAGTGACAAAGGCCGACATGTTCCTTAGACACAGCTGATAATTAATAGCCCATACAGCCAATCGCAACCAAGGGACCTACAGTTTATAATGGAATAATAACTACATTTTTTGCTTGTAATTAACGAATTGGTCTAATTATTAGGATAGTACTGCAGATAGTCGTAGTACTCACAAGTGCGGACGGTAATCCACACCAGGGAGCATCGCATCCACAGTGCATCCCTATAAATATCCACAATTCGTGACCTTCTAGTAGCTGAATTACAGGACGACGCCACCGTCCCAGTCTATTTGCAAAATTAAGCTGATTATCCGTGTTTACTGTGATTGACTATTTTACTGTACAAAAATTGGAGTAATGCAATGTGATTTGATTATGTTTATTTCGTAGACGATTCTTAACTGATGCATTGTGCACTTCTGTTAGTACTGAGAAGTTTAAAATTTTAATAGAAATTACTTTTTTATTAAATTTACCTAACTTTTTTTGTTGAACTGTGTCCAACTCTGTCCAATAACAAAATTACAGAACTTGAATGCAAAATAATTAACTTGACATAAAAAAGTAACGTATGTTTTATTTTTCAATGATATTTTTTCTTAAAAAATCTTACAGAGAGTGAAGAGAAAAAAATTCTGATAAACTAGTAGTGATACTACTGACTCATAAATTGTATGATTTTTTTTAGATGGAAAAAATGTTTTCTATTGAAGAGAACATTACTAGAATTATAAAAGCTTACAGAACTAATTTTTTTGTTTTTGTTTTTAACTTTTACCATGTTAAGTTGTTTACTATGAGTGTAATTTTACTACCTCATCTTAGATTTAAGCATAAACAAGTTACATCAGAACAATGCTTTAACGATTATGAAAGCATGTTATTAAACCATCACATATACGTAGAAAATTCCAAACACTATGCATGATTCAACTCTTATAATAATACTATCAAAGATTCCAACCACATTCAAAGTTTACATCACAACAACCAAATTTGATTAATTTAAATATTTTAAATGTTTAAAAAAATATGCTCCAAAACCTAAAACCTCTAAAACATATGTTTTAAAAAGTCAACAATCACATTACACATCTCAACAAAATGCACAACAAAGTCTTTTATTTTCACCCATCTCAAAAATAACTTTCAGAGTGTAGAGTGATTATGCAATTATTAGCAATCAAACTACTTATCACAAGCAAAATGGCAAGAGCAGTCTCTTAAACGTGTAAACATACTCCTTGTAGGTAAACAAGATAAATATAATACGGACGCAGACAAGTTGTTTAGGTTAGATTGCTAGGTTATGCTCAAACGACATTAGTGGGAGATCCAGCAGTGGTAGGAGGACTCGTAGGAGCAGCTGCCCTCGTCATCATTGACGCCATCTGTAAAACACAGGTCTTGTACATAAAAACATATTCTAGATGCTGATGGACAAACAGTGATAATGAAATGCACTAAACATACATAGAACTCTAGATATAATTATCTTTCTGTGTTATATGTACGTGTTCTCTTTCAAAGCACTCCATTATGTATAAACAAATTTTAACACTTACCGAAACCCCGGTCTGACAGGCCCACGGGAGTTTTCACAAACGCATGTTGGCAACACTGGGATTCCATTCCCCCAATACCTTACCCGCTTTTCCTCCCCTACCTGTTGATATATTGTTTGTTCATTTTGCGTGGGGTGTCAAAACCTTGACAGGTTGTCTGTTCATAACATACCCGTCTCAGAAGCCCAGCGTTAGTGTATTATAAAGCGGGGTCTCACAGGCCCAGGGTTTCGGTTTGTGTGTTTCTAAGCGGGGTCCATTATTTTCAAATGAGGTCTCACAGACCAGAGGTTTCGGTTAGCGTCAGCCTGGCTAGGGTTTCGGTATTATTGTTAAACTTTAACTTAAAGCTGACTGTGAAATAAAGTTTCATTTTTATTACTTTAAACTCATAATTTATTATTATTTTTATCATTACGAGATGGGGACCCCACCTATGTACGTATTTTAACCCAAATTTGAGTGTAGAATGTTGTGAGATAATCTGTGTCTAGCTTTTTTACTGACTAAGATTAATTGTTTCATTAGTCAGGATCATTTATTTAAAGTAGTGATGGTCGAATCCATGAATTTCGAATCCGAATCCGAATCGTAAAAAAATCAAATCTCAAATCTTCGAATCACGAGTTCTAAAAAAAATTATTACAAATGGGTTTATTGTAATTAAAAAAGCAAGAATGAATAGGAACCATAAACATAAATATAACACTAACCATTAATGACTACTCTTTGTAATGAAAAGTTACGTAATTACTTTTGACACACGGCAAAAATAACAGACGACTATCGGTTACATCTTTAAAAACCAACTTTAAAATCGAACGGTTGATCGGTATACTTTATTTGGATGGCAAATATGTATTGTTGTTGTAGGTACACTTGTTAATTTTAAATTCGTTGATCGATAGTATAGGCCTACTCTGTTCATACAATTTTAAATAACATATTAAATAATAAGCATCAATGCAATCCACAGTCGAGCGTCAATTGGGAATCATATTGTGTAACTTTAATCGCCGTGTCGTCTGTCTAGTGTCTACGGTACAGTTCCGCCATTGCTTGCTACACGAACGCAGACAAATACTTATTGCGGGCGGTCAAGGTTAAGTCGATGATACCGGCAATGGCGGCAATAGTTGCTCGAACGCTCGCACTGAACTAGAGCTACAACCTACAACCGAGGATAGCACTGAATACTGAATGCAAGAATTGAGATACATTGGCCACCATATGTAGCCTACTAGGGGAATAGAGTTTTTAATGGAGTCGTGAGTAAGATTTAATTTCAGACAGAACTGGTATCGAATTGAGAAATTCTGTTATTGGCCTATCCCTATTTAAAAAATACAATTCATATTCGACTAGGACGTAATTCAAGCCATGACCATGGTAAGTAGACTGATGTGTCGGTTTAGAGACCGAGTTTGGCTTTGTTCCAGCTATGCGTAGATCGACACTGCTGCTACACGTTATAGTTATACATGGCGAGTTGGTGTATTCTGTCAGCGGACCCATCTCGAATCTGAATCTTTTCTTAGGATTTGGTGGATTCGAGATTCGGATTCGACACACCCTTAATTTAAAGCCCAATGATCAGCCCAATGGGACACCTGGGTCCAGTTTCAAACCATCAAAAAGCTGCTGACTTTTCTCAGGGTCGAACCGGCGACCTTTTGGATGTTAGGCGAGCACTTAAACCACTCCCCATAATATTATTTATTAGTTAACAATACTTCTTTTCAAATGGTATTCAAATTTCAATTTTACAAGTTTGAGGTCAATGCCGTCAATCAATCAATCAATCAAATATTCTTTATTCAAGTTTAGACAATATGTCTTGAATAGTGTCATTAAACTAACATAAACAAAAATTTATAAACTAAATAATTAAAATCATTCATTACAAAGTATGTATTGAAAATTCAAAGTATATCTGAATGAAAACTAGGAAGAAAATTACTCATCAGCACAACCAAAGACTTGGGCAGCTAAATGAATGATAATTATAATAAATACTAGAAAGGAAATACCCTTAAATACATAAAAAAGATTTATGTTAAGTAATTTTTATACACTATTGTGAGAGATTTTAGCAAAGTGTTAGAATTGACTTTTTAATATTCTTACATTTTGCAGGACTTGTTTCCTGAAGAACTCGTTAACAGTTGAGGTTAACTTCTGATCGCTGACACCCATCTTACACTTCATGTACCCGTAGAGGTTGGCACCCGTGAGAGTCAGTGCGATGCTCACAAGCAACTGAAACATTGGCAACAACATGTGAGTCACAATTAGGGATATGTCGACGATGACATTTCCGTGACTGGGGGAGTCAATAATGATGTCTACACAGCCGCGGAATATTTTTGTGATTTTGCCGTGATCGTGGACGACAATAATCAGGTTTTCGTGACCGCAAAAGGCGTTGATGATGATGTCTACTCAGCCGCGGAATATTTTTGTGATTTTGCCGTGATCGTGGACGACAATAATCAGGTTTTCGTGACCGCCAAAGACGTTGATGATGATGTCTACTCAGCCGCGGAGGATGTTCATGATTCTGCCACGATTGTGGAAGATGACGATGATGTCTACATGACCGTGGTAAATGTTAATGATTTTGTCGCCATTGTGGATGACGACGTTTCTGTGACCAAGGGAGATGACGATGACATCTACATGGCCGTGGGTAATACTCATGATTTTGCCGTGATGATGCATGATAACGATGACTTTTCCGTGACCGCAGGATTCAATAATGATGCCTACACGGCCGCCGGAACATTTTTGGGATTTTACCGTGATTGCGGAGTTGATGATGATGTCTACACGGGCGCGGGAGATGTTTTTGATTTTTCTTCCGCGACCGCAAAAGACAGGGATGATGATCAGTTGTAATTGAGGAAGACATTTAGGATTTTTCAGTGATCCCTGAGTCTTACCCTAACACATATTCTTAAAAGTTAATTAATAAACCGGCATTTTTGATAATCCGGCACAACCAAGGTCCAGATCTTGCCAGACTAGTGAGCATGTATTCTATAATCAGAATTGATTTGACTGTACAGTCATTTAAGGAAGTAATGAGGTAAGAGTTGTAGGCACATTGGCCAGAGACACTTTCATCATGCTGCCCTATCTAGATGAAATAAAAATCTAAAATGTAGTAGGCCTACTCACCAGCCATTTAAAGTTGAACGTGAAGAGCGCCGTCAGGAAGATAAAAGCCCAGACAGCTGGCACAGCTATGAGCGCTGTCCAGAATATCCTCGCCTCACTGGCGTTGATACGGTTCTGAGCGTCCCCCTGGACAGGGGCACCTCTTAAAATGTGTTCCTCGTTACATAAAGAGTGCAATTAATATGTACCTTTTTACTTAAGAGTGTAATATTTAAATATACATATACAGTAGACCCCTTTAATTAACCTCACATTACCCGATAATCAGATTATTCGCCCTCGCTTGTAAAATACGACAGTTTGTGTTAGCTGACCTTGTTTTGAGAGAGGTTCGCTTTAACCGCCCCTTTCTAGGAATCTTGGCATTTCTGCTGTCACGCTCGGCAATGGGAAGAAAACGCTAAACTCTACAGGATGTTACATGCTATAAATAAACATCCTGTCTCGTAACAAAATGGTTGCTTGTATCTTAAATTTTGGCAATAACTTCTGTACTGTATTACAATGGATTTGGAAAGCATAAGTTATTATTAATAACGGTATTAAAATAAGAATTTTTAGTGACCCTTGCCTACAACTATAATCAATTCAACTAAGTTTGCAGTTGGTGGCAGCCAATCACAAGACAAGGCTAGTGCCACATTGCCACATCGCCCGTTGACAACACTAATTAAAATTTAGTAAGCAATATTTTCAAATCAGCTGTTATTATTAGATTTGGCAACACCGTACGGTTCTCAATGGTTCTCATTCAAAACCACATAAATAGGCTCCTCCCTCAACTGCAAACTTACGTAGTTCCGACTGTAAATATATTTTACTTTATTGTATTTTGGGGTTATTTCTGACTTTTAAATTTTCAATTCTTAAGAAATACCCCTGCCACAGCAAACCTGCAGACTAAGCGAATTTCCAATTGCCTGATTGGATTTACACTAAAATTTCCCCTTAAAAAGATCACATTTATTCCCTACTAGCAGAGTACCCGTCCTTCGTACGGGGTTGGCATATAAGTATAAAATGCTTATTGCAGTTATACTCGATCTTTGCGTTTGCAATGTGAGAAGACACGGTTTGAGAAAATTAGCTTTCTAAAATTTACGGTATGCTATAGAATTACAAAAGTATTACACATCTACCATAGCCATTATGTTCTACCACTTCACCTACACAATAGAGAAAGATAGATTATTAAAAATTCGCAAAATATCACAAATTATTCATGAAATAAAAAAAACAAACAGTTAACAATCCTACTTTGACAGTTCTCATTGCGTATCACAGTTTTTTGTTGCTGCTTAGTTCAAATTAGCAATGTTTATTAGGGGTCTGCGTTGCACCGAAAAAGAAAAAGTACAGCTTAATTACCATTTTACAGGTACACATTTGGGTACAAGCTTAATTCGGTACAGCCTATTATGATAATAAATTACTTTCAGTTTACTATCATAGTAGTCAACGGCAGTTGGTTGCGCGAGCACATAGAAAGTCTTATCTGTTGACTTAAGTGAAAGTAAATTACTAACACCTAAGGTTTTACTGTTACAATAATTATCTTTTATTTTACTGAAGTACAAACACACAACATTTTTACTCAAACATAACTTATTCAACAATTCTCATTACTATAAAAACAATCCTAACTATTTACACATGGTCAGCTGTTACCAACATAAATTAAATTAAATACAGAACAAGTAACAGCAAACATATTATATAAAAATAAAATTACATTCAACACCTTCCCTTAATTTTAATTTTATGTAAGAAACAAAAAATAAATATCTTGATTATCGTCTTCTGTTCAAGATTTTGGATAGTTGATCAAAGCTTTGCTAAATTGATGAAACTTAACATTGTTCAAGGGTTTTGTAAACATATCCGCAACATTCTCAGATGTAGAAACAAAAGAAATGTTTATTTTACCTTGCCTTACATTTTCAGTCAAAAAATGGTAGCGAACATCAATGTGTTTGCTTCGCTTGTTAAAAATTCCATTTTTACAAAGCTTAATAGCACTTTGATTGTCCATGTTTAGGTTTGTTTCAACATTAGTTCCACTCAACTCTTGCAAGAAAGTTTTTAAATATAACACTTCTTTGACACATTCCGCCGCTGCAATGTATTCTGCTTCAGTGCTGGACAAAGCTACAATCGGTTGTCTTCTTGTACACCAGCTTATTGGGTCTTCTCCATACATTATGACAAATCCAGTAGTACTTCTTCTTGTATGCTTGCAATTTGCATAGTCTGCGTCACAATATACATTTAGGCAATTTTCTCCTGATGCTGAAAATAATATTCCTGCGTCTTGAGTACCTTTAATATATCTTAAGGTTCGTTTGACATTTACAACATCTTCATTGATTGGATTCTCAACACATCTACTTTCTAATCCCACAGCAAGTGTAAGATCAGGTCTGGTTTTATTGGATAAGTACAGCAAACTTCCTACAACTTCTCTGTAAGAATAATCTTTTGTCAGGCAGCTTACTTCTTCATCAGGTTTGCTCGTTTTCACTGGACAAATGGGAGTGTCTACAGGTTTACAATCTATCATTCCATATTTTTCGAGAATACTGTTTGAATAGTTCTTTTGTGTTAACAATATCCCTTCCCTTGAATATAAAATTTCCATTCCAAGAAAGTTTGATGGGTTTTCGTCTGTTTTTATTTTAAAATCTCTAGACAGCTCGTTCAAAAGTTTCTTCATCTCTCTTTCATCTGAACCAGCAAGAATTCCATCATCAACAAATATAGCAAGATGAATACTGCCATTTGTAAAAACACAACGGTCAGACTGAGTTTGTTTTAAGCCATATTTTAGCAAGCAGTTTGTAAACAACTGGTTCCATTTAAATGGAGCTTGTTTAAGTCCATATAAAGTCTTTCTTAATTTCAAAACTTTATCTTTATGATCAAACCCTTCAGGTACACACATATAAATTTCTTCATCTAAATTTCCATAGAGAAAAGCAGTTTTAACATCAAATTGCATTAGTTTGAGATTTTGTTTGGCAGCTAATGAAAATAACAAACGTAAAGTTGAATTACTTACAACTGGGCTGTAGGTTTCATCATAGTCTATACCTTGTTCTTGGGCAAAACCTCTTACAACTAGTCTCGCTTTGTATTTTCCGTTATCCTTTCTTGTTAATACCCACTTGTTACTTAGGATCTTCTTGTTTAGTGCTTGCTTCTTGTCAACCACTTCCCACGTTTCATTCTCAATTAGGGAGTTTTTCTCATCCTCAATTGCTTGTAGCCAATTCTTTTTATCTGGTCCTTTGATTGCTTCTTCATATGTCAACATCACAAAATCTTTATATCTTTCAGGTAGTTTAGTTTTTCTTCTTAGTTTGATGCTTTGTGTAGTATCAGTATTACTTGAACTTGGCTGTTCTTCATTGATTTCATTTTTGTCTGAAACCAACTCAAACTCTACTTCATTATTACTTATCTCACTTAGATTATCTGCACTCTCAATATCTTCATTTTCATTTTCGTCTTCTTTCTGGTCATTTTCATTTTTGTCTTCTTTCTTGTCATTTTCATTTTTGTCTCCTTCCTGGTCATTCTCATCGTGACTGTCATCGTCTTCAATAATTGTTGTTTTCTCCTGTTCTTTGCCACAAAATTACACTATCATCCACTACCGGTTTACTTGTTTCTCTTTCTATTAACTGAGCATTTAAATTACTATTTATGTCAAAAATCTTCACTGTGAACAATCCATTTGCATTTTTTAAGCCTTCCAACACTTTATCTCCAGTTTTTCTAAGTCCTATCATAACTTTATTTTCAGAGAAAGTAACCTCACCACCATTATTAGTTATTGCAGAAACAGACAACAAGTTTTTACTGAGTTCAGGAACATACAGCACATTATTCAGGATACATTCTTTGGATTTTACGGTTCCACTCGTTGAAGCTAACATGGTTTGATTTTTCTTAGCAACATATATTTCAGAAGAAATATTTTGTTTATTACTTAACAAATCTTCACAATTTGTCATATGTGAAGATGTGCCTGAATCAACAACCCATTCAGATACAAAGTTTACAGTCCCACTATTACCCCGAACATTTTGTCCATCATCATACGTCAAAAATGACACAGTTTTACTAGCGACATTTAGGTTCTGGCTTTTTCTAAAGTAACAATTTTTTTTTCATTATGATTTGACTTTTTACATATATTAAAAAATAAATTTGGCTTTACATTTCTTTTTTCAAACTTGTTAACAAATTTTTTTACATTTCCACAGGTGTTTGCTAGATGACCAACAGCATTGCATTTAAAACATCGCCTTTCATTATCAGAGTTAGCCCTATTGTATGTAGGCTTCTTGCAGTACTTTGCTTTATGGCCTGGAATTTTACAGTTGTGACAAACAACTTGGAATGCAAGATTTTTCTCTAGGCTTACCTCCTTTAACTCACTTCTTGACTCTTCTGCTAACAGTCTCGCTGTTAGATTTGCCAATGTCTTTTCTTCATTGGGCATTGATTCCCAGGCAGTTACAAAATACTTAAATCTATCTGGCAGACTGACAAGAATTTTTGATATTATCATTTTTTCATCAATATCTTGTTTTAAAGTTTTTAGTCTGTGTGCTATGTTTTCAATTCTACTTATGTGAGAACTTATATCAGAATTAGGCTCATACCTGAGGTTAAAGAATTCTTGTAATAACGAGTACTTCTGCTGCTCTGAGTCTCTTTCATAAATATTACACAGCTTCAAAAACATTTCTCTTGAGTTTTCACAGTTAATGATATGTAACATCGGTCCCTTCTCAATAGAACTAACTATACACTTCTGAGCCTTGGCATCTCTTTTAATCCAATCAGCCTTCTTCTTTCCATCACCCATATCTTCAAGTTTCTCAGAACCATCCACAATACTCATCAAATCACTGGATTGAAATATTATTTTAATCTGAAATTTCCACAATGGAAAAGTTTCAACTCCTTTGAGTTTTTCTACGAAATCATCTTCTTTTACTGATGCCATTGTTAGTCTTACTTTTACTTTTTCACTCACCTTCACTACACTGTATCTCTTAGGGTTTTACTAGAAGATTACTTCTTGTTTTTACAGTTATGGTTGAATTAATGAATTTTTCTGGGCCCATAACCTGTTGACTTAAGTGAAAGTAAATTACTAACACCTAAGGTTTTACTGTTACAATAATTATCTTTTATTTTACTGAAGTACACACACACAACATTTTTACTCAAACATAACTTATTCAACAATTCTCATTACTATAAAAACAATCCTAACTATTTACACATGGTCAGCTGTTACCAACATAAATTAAATTAAATACAGAACAAGTAACAGCAAACATATTATATAAAAATAAAATTACATTCAACATTATCAGATGTTCGTGGTCTTCATAATTTATTACTAGGGTCATGATGCAATAAAAAACCCATTAGCAGTCCCAAATCCATTTACATTTTATCACGACAATAATTGTTGCATTCAAGTACTTCCAAGAACTGTCAAGTGTAATCACTTTTATTTCTTTACGACTTTACCCAATTCTATTTTATTTGTTATAGATATTTTATCTTCCTATTGAGAAACCACAAGCATAGTTGTTGTTGTTTGCATAATTTTTGTATCGTTATGCAAGCCTACTCGGTCTCAAATTATGTCATTGCATGTTCTGTTTCTTGTCTTATATTATTAGATGTGGCTTTTTAAGGCTTAAATGTTTTTTTAGTTTCCTGTATTTTTATTGTGTTGAAGGTACTTTATGCAATCTAAACCTTATGAACTAGATAGTGAATTTGCTACCTTCATTAACCTAATCAATTTATATATAGGCCCTCCTAAATAATTAGGTCTAGGCCTGGGTCTTTTGATTCTTTGGAAGAGCTTTAAAATATACTAAGAAATTGGATTGAGCCTGAGATAAACTAATGATTGATATGATTGATATTGTGGATGTTAACTTTGTAAATGAAAAGACAATAATCTTACTCTGCGATAATCCAAATTTTAGTTTCAGAAAAAAACTTTGCAAGATCCTTAGCTCCAGTGGCGGATCCAGAGGGGGGCGACTGCCCCCCCCCCCCTTCGGGCAAACATGTACATGTATTTTTTACTGCATGTAATACAGTAGTTATTTGCGTAAAATAATTTGTCACACTTACTTTGGACAAAGAAACGGTATAAAACCGCCATTAAGGAGACTTAGTTTACACAAATTTTTCGCCCCCCCCCCCCCCTTGTGACTGTTCTAGATCTACCACTGCTTATCATTTTGTGGGCGACCCAACCGGTTTTCCTTTTCAATCAACTCACCTTTCTAGACTCAAAAACCCAATGTGATGCTCCATCATCATCAACATAGTTCCACCATCTTAGTCCCACCATCAGCCGTCCTGAAAAAAGTCAAACAACAATATGTTTGTGGCCTTTGTCTCAATCGACATTTGCAACTGTTTTAGTAGGTACTTTGTTATTATTAAATCACTTGAAAATGTTAGCTTTATAATTATAAGTCAATAAGTCGTTTACTGAGCTAGATTAACAAACTTAAATTAGCCAAGCCAATACAACAGAAAAATGTAATTTATTGTAAACTAGCAGAGTACCCGTCCTTCGTACGGGGTTGGCATATAAGTATAAAACGCTTATTGCAGTTATACTCGAGCTTTGCATTTGCATTTTCAATGGGGGAGGACACAGTTTGATAAAATTTGCTTATTTAAATTTAGGGTATACCATAGTATTACACATCTACCATAGTCATAATGTTCTACCACTTCACCTAAACAATAGAGAAAAATAAATTATTAAAAGTTTGCAAAATATCACAAATTATTCATGAAATTAAAAACATAAACATAACTGTAAACAATCCTACTTTGACAGTTCTCATTGCGTATCACAGTTTTTGTTGCTGCTTGCTATAGTTATGATAAATGCAAAACAAATAATAGTGCTGCACCCTGTTGGTAAATCTTATAACTTTTTAATGCTTTTCATATCATAGAACCAACATTTAGTTGAAACAGCTGACACAATTCTTTAATTCCCTTTTAATATGAATACTCATAAGGTTAACATGGGAAACTGCTGAGCCACTGGGGCGGAGCCCGAAAGGATTTTTCAGGAAAAAATATGCCTATATGTTAATCGGGAATGTGAGCTATCATCATGCCAAATTTCAGCCCAATCCGTCCAGTCGTTAATGCGTGATTGAACTTCAAACAAACAAACAAACAAACAAACAAACACACAAACTTTCACATTTATAATATTAGTAAGATGGTAAAGAGTGGTCATAGTCCATCAGTAACACTAAGAGAAGAAAGAAGAAGAAAAATCAGTGTGAATAAATGCTGTAATTCATTTATATTATTAATTAACAAGAAAAGGATGAAAAATCCACACAAGAACAACACTTTTGTGAAATAAAACCACACTCTTGTCCCACTTAAACTAAAAAAAAATAAAAAAAAACAATAAAAAGCAAGCTGTGATGATAACAAGATATACAACCAAAGACTAGATCCCTAAATTGAGCTCTATCAAACTACATAGCCTATAAAAAATTTTCACCACACTATGATGTTTTTAGCCGTTTTACAAACGTTTATGGGAGGACGAAAGCTACGTCCTAAAACTAAAACTTTCATGCATATTATCAGTACCCATAGCATTGATATAAACTTCTTTTATTGTCACCGCTGCGTAGCAACTATTATTCTATATTATTCCTCAAATTATTTCTTCACATAACCTTGTGGTTGTGTTGACTGTTAGTTTACACTATTATTCTGGTCAATATTAGTAATAGGGAGTAGATAGTAATGTACCAATCCTAGACCAAAAAAGGAAGACTTTAATAATTTAATGAAATTTGTTGTTTTTCAATACTAATATGTTAAATTTTTGCCACTTTTAGGCCAATTTCTAACATTTTCATATTTTTCTAGAAAAAGTATATAATTTTGATGAAATTTTCATGAATATGTCTATACTTTCCATAAAATTGACTACAAAACAAAATGTTTTTAAAAACAAGTAAAATTTTAAAATTTAATGAGTAGTTTTTATACAAATTTAACTAAAACAGTTTCTTTATCTTTGAATGTTTTAATTTCAGTAATAATTAAGTGTAAATCTTTTTTATTTAATTCTTTAATTGTTTTTTCATCAAATATATTAATAAATCTATGAGGCAAATGAACTTTACATTTTTCTAATTCAACAATAACTGTTGGTCCATATTTATCTTTAACTTTTTCAAATTTTTCTATTTTATATTTTGTATTCAATTCTAAACTTTTTATTGGTTTATATTCTTTGAATTTACATTCTCCAATATTATTAATCTCTTCTAGTAGATCCATTTATTACAAAAATAATTATAGAAATTTTAAACAGTTAATAATTGAAATATATGAAAAGAATTTTAAATATCACACAACAGTTTGTTAGAACTGTTGTGTGATATTTAAAATTCTATTTTTTTAAATAATATCTGATGTATCACTTATGTTATCAGAAAAACCATTATGTTAATTTATTATGCATGGATCATTTAAAGTTGATAGATGTTTTAAGAATTTTAAAAAAATATCATCAAATTCTGGTTTTATATAAAAATTCAATTCTAAAAGTTTAAAAATCATTGGTAATAGTTTTTTAAATGATATATTTCTTTTTGTAAAACTGAAATATGCATTAAAAATTACTGTAATATTTCTTTTATCTTCAAAATTTAATTCAAAATCAATATTGAATATTTTGTTTAAGAATTGATAGTAAAATATCCAGTTTGTATAATTTCTTTGTTTTAAGAATAATTTTATATTTTTAGGTGTTATTTCAAAACTATTGTCTAAAATACATAATGTATAGATTTCATTGATTAATTGTTGTGTACGATATGGTTGAAAATGATTAAATTCTCTTAAAATATTTATAAGATGTTTGTTCTTATTCTTTCGTCTATTAATCTTTTTTTCAGAAATAATTCTTTTACATATATTACATCCTATACAATTTTCAATAATTGTAAAGTTATTAAAATTATGACATCTATAACATACATACATTTATATATAAAATTTTTATATCTAAATGGAAGAACTTATTCAGTGTCATAAATGTAAGAAGAAAACTAAAAATATTAATCCAGAAATTGTTGAAATGAAGAATGGTTTGTTTAGAATTGCTACCAAGTGTTCAATATGTAAAACAAATAAAAGTAAAATAATTAAAAAAGAAATTAAACCAATAATAAAAAAGGAATTAAATAAAAAAGATCAAATAATTGAAGCTAAAGAAATTCATGCTCCAATAAGAAAAAAATTTCCAAAAAGAAAGATAGTTACATTAGGTATTGATGATTTATGGGCAGCTGATTTGATCATTATGAAAAGTTATGAAAAAGAAAATGATGGTTATAAATATATGTTGAATGTTATTGATACATTTTCTAAATATGTTTGGTCAAAACCTTTAAAGAAAAAAGATGCAAAATGCGTATCTATAGCATTTGAACAAATTATAAAAGATGCAATAAAAATTGGTCATAAATCACCAAACTTATTACATACAGATAAAGGACTAGAATTTATAAATAAAGAATTTAATGGAGTTTTAAAAAAGTATAATATTAAATTGTATCATACAGAAAATGAAGAAAAATCAAGTATTATTGAAAGATATAACAGGACTCAAAATGAAAAAATGAAAGTTCTATTTGAAATTAATAAAAATTTTAGATGGATTGATATTCTTCAAAAAATAGTTAAAGAATATAATAATTCATATCATTCAACAATTAAAATGAAACCAATTGATGTAAATAAAGAAAATGAAAATGATTTATTAGATACAGTTTTTAAATATATCCCACCAAAAATAATTACAAAATCTAAATTTAAAATAAATGATAGAGTTAGAATAGGAAACAAAAAATCAACTTTTTCAAATAAATATAAAAACAATTGGTCAAGAGAAATATTTGCTGTTTCTAGAATTAATAATACAAATCCTGTTACATATAGTATTAAAGACTTGAATGATGAAGATATAATTGGTAGTTTTTATGATTATGAATTGAAGAAAACTAATTTGTAAAATTTTATACTATATAAATGGAGAAAAAATGTATAAGGTGTAATTTATATAAAGATGTATCTGAATTTTCAAAAATGAAATCAGCAAAAGATGGTTTATATTATTATTGTAAAGAATGTTATAAAAGTTATAAAAAGGAATTATTTGATAATATTAAAGTAATTGAAATAAATCAAAAAGAGTGTTTGAATTGTAAAGAAATTAAAGACATATCAAATTTTCATAAAAATTACTATAGTAAAGATAAAAAGTTGGCAATTTGTATTGAATGTATTAGACATATGTTTTTAAAACCACAAATGTGTGAATGTGGAAGAAGTATTAAATGGGTCAATAACTATTCAAAACATTTAGAAACTAAAATTCATAAAGAAAATATAACAAATAAGATGAATTAATAAACTAGTTTATAAAAGTTTTATTAAAAACAAATACTCTAGAAAATATAAATTGACTAGTTGATTACTAATTTTATAAAAAAAATACTCTAGAAAAAATAAATTAATCATTAATTTGGGTATATTACTTATATTTTATAAAAACATATTTTCTAAGTAAAAATTATTTTTATTAAATAAAGGAATTTTTTCTCATCTAAATGGAAAGACGAAATGAAAATATATTATGTCCTTATTGTATTAAAAATATATATTCTAAAAACTATGCAAGACATTACAACTCAAAGAAACATTTAGAAAATAAAATAAAATATGAAAATGAAGTTAATAATTTAAAAATATGGTGTAAACAAAATTATATTAATGATTATAAAAACAAAAATCTAGATCAATTAAAAGAAATAAAAAAGTCATATGATCCAACAAACTATTCTTTATTTAAAGAAGAAAAATTAAAGGAAATTGCTAACAAACTATCTGTTAGAAACTATACAAATTTAGTAAGAAATGAACTGATTAAAAGACTAAATAAAATTAAACAAAATCCTAATAATTTAAAATATAGATCATTGAAATTTATTCAAGATTTAGCTGTTAAAAATAATATTAAAATTGTAAATAAAACTAGAAAGGAATTGACTGAATTATTGACTGATCATCTTAAAAATAAACCAATTCTAAAAGAAAATATAATAAATATTCAAGAAGCTTCTTCATTAAAAGGTTATTTTCAAGAATATATTCTAACAAATTCAAATGATGGTTTGGATATATCTGATTATTTAGAATCACAAAGAAGTGAAATTCAAAAATTAATTGAAAAACAAAAATTTAAAAATATAAAAGGACAATTAGCTTTAACATGTGAATATCAAAGAAAATTGGTT